TGGATGGATGGATGGATGGATGGATGGATGGATGGATGGATTGAATGACTGGTGGTTTGGTTGGTTGGTTGCCTCCTGAAAGAGAGAGCACCCCTTAACAAGAATTTACTATGAACTTTATTCATTCCATAAGTACTTATTTATTTTCTTTAAGGTATACTCACAGTTGTATGCTGATTGGCAGTCTTCCAGGCTGATGTAGTTATTTTCGTTACCAAGGCAACCACCGTAATTGAACTGTAAACAGGTCTGGGTGGCTGGGCGGTAGTACCAGCGCTTTTCTGTCTGAATGTAAGTTTCTCCGTATAATTCGGGTTCCCATAGTTTGTAACAAATACCATCTGTTTTCATGGGCACTATAAGGAAATTATCAATTGGTTACTGAACGTTTTACTCTTTTTGAAATGTTTAATCTAATGCGTTCAAGGAGTTACGTCGTAGATTAGAAAGTTTAGCCCAATTTTTTTTATTTATTTTGTCCTTTGTAATCCGTGTTCATCTTCTCCATCCTTAAACATTCTTGATCCTTTAAGGTTTATTCTTTTCCCATTGGTGCTTTTCAGGTTTCCTTCAATTCAAAGGTAACTTTGTACGTGGCCAAAATAACTGAAAATTCCGAGACCGAGCTCCGTTAATTAATTAAACACCACCAACTTACCACAATTAGAGAAACAGTCTCTTTTAGTCACAGTGGAATTGAAATCGTCACAACTCTTCTGGAGTTGATCCAGGAATCTGAAACAAGCATCTGTAGAGGCTCCATAGCCTCGTTTACGCAGAATACTGCCAAGGGCTTGTTGAAGAAAAACTTTGTTTATTCCTTGATCAGGTTTAGGTACAGGTGCTGTTATTGTCAGCGGTGACCTTTCCTCCACTGTAAAAGAAATTATCAATCATTTTGGTGAGCAAGGTGTATCTCACCCTGCAAACTCAAGGTAACAGGACTGGAGGATAGAAAAGGACAGGTCAAAGGTTGTAATACATGTAGATGATTCCGAGTTCTCTCGGTTTAAAAATGAAGGCAAGTGTAAAACGTTTATATGAAAGCTAGCGAGCTATACGAAAGCTACTGAGCTTCCAGACCAGACTAGATTTTGAATGATAGCTGTTCATCTCTCATGTTCCGGAATTTTTGGTCGAAAGGATTGTCTTGTTTTTTCATTGCGCATGTCCAAAACCAAACTACTGCTTAAATAGTCTTGAGCCTTATTTTTTTTTTTAAGTCACTCGAATCAGTTCCACTTTGCTCAACTTGGATGCAAGGCAATTTCCGGTAGTTTCCTGATTTTTGCATCTATTTGAGATTATCTTATATTACAAATGAGAAATGTTAATCGTGAAAAGAGCTTTTCCTAAACCCAATTTCCGGTCATTTTTGGTAAATGGTATCCCCAGACAACAATGGCCACATCAGACGAATACGAGAACTGCAAAAAGGTGTAAGTGGCAAATTGCGTCAACTTTTACTTCAACATCTTTAATTTCAAAACATTTGATAAAACGCGTAGAAACAGCATGTTTGACGCATGTCTCGAAATTCCAATAACATTACTCCCAGGTTTTCCGCCAAAAAAGGCAGATTTTCCAAGATTACATTCCTTTAGTTCCCATGAGAGATTATATACAAAGAAACCAAGACCAATTAAGGAAGTCTGGCAGAAATCTTCGAGGCTATGTTAGAATTTTGGCACATTCTTGCCAAACCTTTTGGCATTGGTACCACAATTAAATAATATAAGAATAATAAATTATTATTTTAAGAGGAGGCTTCCAATCACCTAGAAGTGGTTTTCAGGAGTTTCCTCTAAAAAATAAAATTCTAAAGTATATATCAAATGGCTAAAATACAGAAGTAAGAAAAGCTAAAAACTTAAGACTACAACTAAGGTTTAAAACTAGAAGAAAGACTAAAAATACTACTACTAACTAGGGTTAAAAATGATTAAGTAAAACTTGTTTCAGTTTGTGTTTAAAAATCCTGCCTGGCATCCAACATGGATGTCAGGCAGTTTCGGGCAATTTTGTAAGTTCTGATTTCTTTCTAGATGCTTCGTATATACCTCAACATCAAATTGTAGCACGATTGAGAAAAGTTAACCGTGAAAAGACCTATTCCCATCCACAATTTCCGGATATTTTTGGTGAATGGTGCACATCCTGAGTCTTGCCCAAACGAAAACAGTCCTTGGATCGAGGTAGATAAATGCACGTTACTTTACTTGCTTTAATTATTTACTCAATGATTTTAAATGCTTTAATGATACTGACAAGGACCAAACACAACCTTGTCATCAGTAGAACGGCCAAAAAGATTGAAAAGTTTGGCGAATGCATACGAAATCAGTTTTTTTTTTTATTCGAATAAAAATAGGCGTCGGTAAAACAACACTGCCTGCATCAGAAACAAAGCAAGGACTTCAAAAAAGGTACAATTTGCAAAGTTGGGTCAGCTTTGTCTTTTACTTCTTCATAGTTTTCTTAATCATGTTGATTTTGCAGCACAAGAGAGTAAGAAATAAACACTTGGAAACATCCCCAGTTTAATATATGAAAATTCTTACATGACTACGAGGCTTTCTGTGCCCGTTTTCAAAATTTCCCAAGATTCCTTTGTCTGGTGGTTCCCACAAGAGACTCGATACAAAGAAAATAAGCCCAAATATGGAAGTTTAGCAGAAATCCTCGAAGGTATGTTAGAATTTGGATAGCTATAACATGGGCTATTGGAGGCAAGCAAAATTTACATTTCAAACTTGGGAAAACGACCCACTGAACATAGCAAATGCACAATTAAGCGAACTGTCATGGTCTTTGCTAAGGTCAGAGATAATTTATATTAGAAAGCACCCTGTGGGAAAGAGCTTGCATGAAGCCATACTTCTACAGCAGGGTTGCCACCCACTGGAACAAAAAAAAATCCCTGACTTTTCACTGACTCTAAAGCAATTTTCACTGACCCTGCAGGATGACTATTCTGGCCATGGATCAACAAAATAAGGATGGCTCAGATAATTTTTAAAACAAAATTGCCTTGTCTATACAAGAACATCTAATAAAATAATTTGCGGCAACCTTAATATAAAATTCCCTGACTTTTCACTGACTTCGAACTGGGATTTGGGAACTCCCTGACCTGATACTAAACTCCCTGACTTTTCCCTGACCTTGAATAAAATCTCATTTTCCCTGACTTTTCCCTGACCGTGGCAACCCTGTACAGGAGCGGATTTAGGGTGGTAGGGGTGAGTTGGCCAGCCACCACCCTTTTGAAGAAGCAAAACATAAAAAAATTGAAAAAAGTTTCGAATAATATGGCAAAAATAAAGGCAAACTCTCTGGACAGGTACCTCATTGTTATTTCTACTTTGTGGCATCGCTGGTATTTCTAGTGAAAAGGTTTTCAATTAGGTTTCAATTCTCAAATTGCAACATTTTGGAAAGATGCCCTCTTGATTCTGCAAGCCCAAGGTACCAACCCCCTCCCCCTTGAAAAATCTTGAATCCGCCCCTGTTCTATAGGTATAACTCGAAACTCCGAACTAGCCTGACAAGCATTTGAACCAATAACGAGCAAAGAGACTTCCATTATCGAAATAAACGACTCATTTCCACCTCTTCTTCTCGCAGTGTTGCCGAAAAAAAAAATAAAAAAATTTTCTCCATGCTTCTATCTATTGTTTCTACCGCCAGGAAATTTGGGAGAGCTCGAACTTACGGCTCTTGTTTTCACAGCATTTTTCGTTCGCCCAACTTCAATTCGAGTTTCCATTTAACAATAACTTGGATTATGCGCTCGAGATTTATATCACGCATAGAAATCGAGAGCGAATTATCGAATTGTTCTGGCATAAATTTTCAAATCGTTTAAAAATTTATCTGTCCTCTTCACAAACACTTCGAAAACGCAAAGGAGCAGCCGTCATTTTGCTAACAACCGCACACTGCTGGGCTACTCACTATCTGAGACAAAATAGGTGGTGAATAGCGTGTTCAATAAGAGAACGGCATTCGTGATAGAACGCTAGTAGATTATACTAAAACTCGATTGAAACGGAGAAGGTAGTTCGTTGCTAATCATCTGGATTATCCCTAAGGAACGCACCCTACGATGAATTTCGAGTTGTGTGATTCTCTGATTTGTTCGCTGCGCTCTCTTGTAAGTATTTTCTATTGATAAAAGTATCATGAAAAGTTGTCTTCCTGTGTAGCAACTGAATTTCTGACCTCAAGCAATGTTTCAGTTTTTTGATCGCATAACTCAGTCATCATTTTCAATTCGATTCAATGTTTGTGAAAATTATCTATTTTGACGCGACGGGGGGAAAACTGGCATTTATGTTTTTTTTAATTTTTTTATTCGATAGTCGTACTGGCTCTTCAAAGACTGGAAGACTCGTAAAAACAAACACACTAAAATTCCTAACAAAAGATTTGAAATACCAACCCCTATTAATGACTCGCCGTTAAATTTATACCAGCGCCACAAAGTTGGCGAAAACTACACCCACATACAAGTTATGTTCGCGTCGAATACTGGATGAAAGACCAGAATTTCTATTTTCTGGAAATGCTTTAACTCTGAGGAGTGGAACGAACCAAAACAAAAATGAAAAAATATTGAAAGTAACAATGAATATAGAGAGACTACGGAGGAACTTCAATTCCGTTTTCTTGACAACTACATTTGCATCAGAGATTATTGAAGTCCCTGAATGAAATTTAAGGAACTAAAGTACCCGTCAGCGCTTAGAGAATTAAATTTTCATTTCGTAACAACTGCTCTAAACTTTCTCTTTACCAGCACTCAATCCACCTAGGGCACTACATAAAAGCCACATTGCGTGCGAATGTTTTCAGTTGCGCTCTTCTGTATGTTGCTACCCAGTCGAATCGCCCTTAGCAACAATATAAGTTGGTTAATTACGAGAGGTTTTGCTCACAAAAATATATCCACACGAGATAAACTTATCATAGGTTCCAATGTTGAATTTTATTTTATTTTATTTTTCTTTACTTTTACAGTTTGGGGAAAAGGTGCTTGAAGACCTGGCTTGCGTCGCGGCCGCGGGTTATTCATTTCGACTTCAATTTTAACTCCAGTGGAAAACATAATCTTCTGTCCGCCCACTTCAACGCCTGGCATAAAAATTCACGTGCACAGATCGTGGTGTTGTCCAATCGAAAGAGAGGAAATGTCCCTTTGACCTTTTCAAGTAATAATATCGAGATACACCGAGACTGACAAAAATGTTTTTCGTAATTTTTGAAATTATCGACTGGAAATAACATAGAAGGAGATAAACAAAAAACTCCTCAAAGCCGTATACGTTGAAAAACGGTGTTTTCTCCATTTATATAGAGGAGGCACTAGGTCTCTGTCCTAAGGTTGTCATGAAAACTGGAGTTTTAAACAAAAATGCATTTATTAGGTGCTACCTCCACGGGTGTCAAGCTCATAAATTTTATAATGCCTTCATGAGGGCATCCGGAGCTGAAGACGTTTATGTAATATTCTGCGAATAAATTCTCGGCAAATTGCGATTAAAAACGTCGCTTCACAAATTGAGAGAGTTCACTAATAAATATCAAAACAAAGCAGACAACTGCCTTTGAGTGAGCACTTACAACTCCTCAGTGACCGCTGATTTTCCAGTTGCACAAGGCTGTCCACCTCTGTCTCAAATGTGTTCTCTAAGTCATATCTGGTAGAAGGAAAATACAAGAGGATTGATTAGCAACCACTGGATTTTATCGAGATTGAAGAAACTGATTGCTGTCGTTGGTTTAACAGATTCGTTTAAAAGCACTTTTCCCAGGAAGAAACATTGTCCTATATCGATTGGCACTTTAGTGAAAATAATTAGAAGGCAAACAAATGGGAAGTTTTCCTCTAGTTGAGTTAAAGGCGCCTATACAAGACAAAAAAACATCTTTTTTTTTATTTTCCGTTTTTGTTAGTAGGAGAAAGTCATGAAATGGAAACCGCTTTGTAGTGAATCCCTTTACTTATGACATTTTTCGGGACTTGGACCGAATTGTGTGCTCTGAAATAAGATCTACTCATTTAATTTTTCAATCACAGTGTTTTCGGAATTGGTTACCAATGTGGATAAGAAAAAAAAATGAAAGAGAATCGATTCGCATGTAGTAGCTTTAGAATCTTTAAGTTTTGCCTGCAAACTGTGCCCTCGATCGCGAAAGCATCGAATGTGGCTGGGGTAATTTTGCTACATATAGAATTACATGGCATCTCATTCACCCAGTCCATAATTGATTCTATCTTGAAGTGAAACATTTTTTCGAAGTGCATGAAATATGATCTCTTTATCGATTTTCACACCCTCAGCGTTGTAGAAATTGGTTACCATATTCGGTACACAAGTAGCATCGCCGATTATTTTGACTCGATTCTTTCTTTTTACTCTAGAATCTTCCTTTTTTTACTCTCGAATCTTTCTCCCATAGCACGTTTATGCTATGGTTGAATTTAAAGTCAACTTTGCCTTGTGACCATCAATCGAAGGAAGGAAGAAAATAGGGCGACCAAGAACAACAGGGAGAAGAACGATACAGGGTGAGTTGAAGAGTGCTGGTATTGGGTGGGAGAACGCGGCAAGATTAGAACAAGACAGAGCGGCTTGGCGGGAACTTGTTTACGCCTTATGTGCCACTGGGGAGGAAGCAGTTAAGTGAAGTTCAGAGTCGATGGAGATTCGAAACAACACTGGGGCATCATTCGCGTTCAGTTCGTGAAAAATGATATCTCGAAATGAAGCATTTTTTTTATCAAATGGCTGAAACATGATTTCTCTGTCGATTCATGTTTTAACCTCTCAGTGTTTTAGAAACAGATAACCAATATATGGACACATTTGGTAAAACTCGGCTGTCAGGTGAAATAGCTCATCTTTGAGCCTTCCCCGTTCGCGCCCGTTCTCGCATTTTTCGCGACAGACGGACTATGATTAACTCCGAAGTGAATATTGCCTCTCGAGGATTTCGTTTGGTATGACTTTAAAATCAATGATAGTTTTATTTACGAAAATACCATCGCGGTCCCATAAGAAATTGCATAACAAATGATATCCTGATATCTCCTGAAGCATTTTTTCCAGGTTGAGCGAAAAATTATATCTTATTGTGGGTCTTTTAACTCCTCAGTTTTAGGAATTGGCCATGAAATTAGAATTAAAAAGCTCACTAGGAAAAAACTGATGTCACATCATTTTGACGGCAGACTTCAAGTCGTCGCTCCGTTTATTCCGCCTTTTTGCGCTTTCCGCTGGCGACTTCTTGAAACAATTATGGCATATTCAAAACGAATTTTGTGTTAGCCATTTCGACATCTAAAAAGATTAAAAATCAATCGAGCAAACTGTATTAACGTCAAAGTTTCATCCATCTATTACAAAGCGGAATCATTTTAAATTGAACCAATATTCCTAGAAGGATAAAATTACTGTTGCAAATTTTACCAGTTATAATGCGACAGAAAAATACTAGTTTCCTTTCTAATTTTTTTTTTCCCTACTTATTCTTCCCCTCTTTTTATTATTTTCAGTAGTAAAGAGTTTTGGTTTAACGAATTCAATGCAGTTCTAGCATCGCTTTAATTACCTTGTTCATTTATTCAACGCTTACACTTCGCTTGAAATGAAGGAAGTTAACTCAAATATTGGTTATTTCTTAAGTATATACTAAACATTGGAATTTAGACACAAGTTTGGTTTTTATCACCGAGCAGCAACTCCGAAAATGGCAGTTTTTTAAGCCAAAGGAAACGAATTGGTTTGGAGCCACAATTAACAGGAAGTCAACACGCTAAGATATATATGAGTCGGTCCGTTTACAAAAAGCAAGAGGACACATTTACCGTTAAATTTCACAAAGCTCTATCAAAATAAACAGTAAAAAATTTCGAAACGAACAGGATCTACTTGTAGTCTTACCCAAAGGCATTGGTCGTCTGTATTCCTTGTAGGAGAACCACGACTAGTAGAACTGACATTAATTGTGATGAGTCCTTCGGTTTGACTCTCCTGTACATTTTAGATAGCCCACCTTAGCCTTCTTTTTTTCTGAAGCCGTTCTTATCGTTCTATTGTGTACTGGCGGGAAAAGTATTTCTTTTCTGGTCGGGCGTTTAGCCGTCTTAAACCTCCTGCCTTGGATGAAGAAGGCGGCTAATGTTTTGCGTAAACGAATTAGAAGTTCTTAATATTGGAAAACATTCTTTTCCAAACCTTCAAATATCTTGGCGATGGCACATCAGTAACACACCAGGCGTGCGCGAGCTTTTGATCTATTTTGCATGGTTACCTTGACAATCTTTTAAACTGATCCGTCAAGAATCTACTTCTTTTGTTGTGTTAAATAAGAGTGAAATATCTTTAACCATAAGACGAGGGATATCAATGGAACTACACTAATTCTCTTCAAAGTTTTTGGATAATACACTCCATTTTAAGCGACGTATAATACGAGTTTAATTGAACGTGGTCTCTGGCGGGTTAGTAAAACTATTCTTATGATATTTTTGCACGAGACCAAACGACATCTTCTGGTGTGTCAGAGAAAATAGTAATCCATATTCTTCTTATTTAGACTACTGAACTGTATCTTTTCAAAACTCTGCTCTTTTCAAGTGGCACCTGTACAAAATCAATTCAGCCAAACAAATTAATACTTAAAAATTCAATATTAAGAGCAACGTTAGAATTAATTTTGTATGGAGCGATGAAGCTACAGCTTCACTATGCAGAAGGGCTTTTGAGCCTCGTTTCCCTGAAAGAGTGAAAAATTCTAATTTGGAAGAAGTAACTTTCATATCAAAAGCTGGAGGATTCCTTTATCACTGAACGCCAAGTAGTACTAAAAACCAAACACAGTGGTCGTTCTAATTATTAGAAATTGTTCTTAACCGTAAACAAGGGGAACTCACTGGTGACTTCAAACATTATCTATCCATTAAAAGATGATATTATTGACGGGAAGATATGCAGGAGGTATTTTCAAGCTAATTCGGAATTACAATTTAGAAAATTTAACGAAAGAACCCTTATTAATAATAAAATAAACTGACATCATATCTAAACCTAATTATGTCTAAATATTAGGATTATTCGCACTATGTTTGACGAGCTTTTTCGTTCTTTCCTACGTCTTCTGTTGGTATTGCTTAACACGTTTTATCAGTAGCTATCACTGTTTAAGACACCCCCCAGTACGAAACAGTTTTCGTTTTCTGATAAGGTGGTTGATTGATATTCAAAAATTCTAGCCCACTCGACCACCGAAAACTTTTCCGATACTGGGACACGACTTTACAGTTAAAAAAGAGCGCTAAAGTTGGGAAAATAATCCATTTGGGACTCTTCAAAAAATAAAACAAAAAAACTGGTCGGTTGATATGGTTGACACTAACAAAACACTACCTTTGTGTAAACAGTCTAGGACCATCTATTTGTTAATCAAAGACAAACGTAATAGGCAATCGATACTGACAAGTTCGGGTGTTTGGAGTTACAAAGAGGATTTCTTTAAGGCTTTAACGCTCAGGATTAAGGGATTTTCCAGTCAGTTGAGGTTTGCTAGCAGTTCAGAAGTTGGTATTTTGGAATATTTTATACTGCGTTGTCAAGGAGGAGGCGAAGAATTTATCAATCAACCTGTAAGTCGCACGCTCAGCAAGAGGTGACAGACAGGCAAAGACTCGCGAAATGTAGGGTTGGTTATAATCATTTTATATCACACGCATACACTGTATTGCCAAAATTTTCACTTACTTTATTGGCATTTTTATTAGTATTACGTTCTTTTTAAATAATAAATCGACTAGGTGATATAGAAGCGTTCTTTTGATCGAAATGAAGCAATTATGTATATTTTGAACTATTTTTATTAAAAGTGTCCTCAGTACGTTTATTCAAAGCTTAACGCCTTGACAGTTGAATGAAGTCTTTCATTCGTTCATTTCATTCAATGGAAGGCATACAAAAATGCTACTATCTTCGACTCGTTCTTAAAATTACACTGCTTCATACAACTGATAATACACATTATGCTTAGTAACGAGAAAGCCCGTTTTTGACGAGTAAAAGCTATTTTGCTTTTAAGCACATTAACATTAATTAAATCAAATTTTGTTGATTTTAGTATTCTGCATTTGTTCTCTTTTAACCAGCAAATTTTCATTACTTTCAAAATGATGGTTCAACCAACTTCTGTTTCTCGTTGCAGCGAATAACGTGGTAAACACAACGCGCGTTCATTTTCCTTCTAAAGTAAAGTTCTGAGTTTCTCGGTATCAACCGGAGTGCGTGAGGAAATCTAGAGATTCAACAGCTGCTGTTAAGAATTCAACAATCCTGATAAGTAAGAAGCGTTTTAAGCATATCACAAAGTTTTTGATTCAGGATTATTTGCTACGCGAATAAAAACAGGCTTTGCACACCTAAAGCGGTAATTTTCTCTTTACTATTTTGCAAAAAAAACATGCAAGACAAAGCAAAAACAGGGAGATATAATTAAGAGTTCAAATGGACACAGACGTAGTAAGCGACAGTCCGTACAGTCTTAGCAGTCCAAGTGGGGTTTTATAGCCGCAAAGTTTACAAAATGCATTCATATTACATATACTATGCTACGCCGGCTCTCGTTGATAGGCAGAAGGCAAGTTTTAGTGAAGTATCATCAACACACGGGGAATACCGCATATTATAAAACTGTTTATATTAACCAAAAAAGCCCCTAATAAAGGCATTATACAACAGTCTGATATTTTAATAACACAGCTCGTGGTTTTGAGAAAACTGGTATTATGTAATGGTAACGCAAACGTGTTTGCAAGGATAAAATTAAGCGAAAGAAGTTTTGCACAACGTTTCGATGAATCATGTCATCATTTTCACGTGAAGAGAGAATAAAATTGATAACTTAATATGCGAGGTCTGGAAATCATCGGCGACCTTGCCGACAACAAACACACAATCAGACTCCCGTATGCACAAAACTAATTATTTAAATTCGTCACCATTTACACGTACACTTTTACAACTTTACGTTTTATCACCTCGCATTCTCTCTTCACTTGAAAATGATGACATGGAGTCATCGAAAAGTTGTGTTAAACTTCTTCCCCTTATTTGTATCCTTAAATGTTTAACCAAATTTAATCTTGTTTAAACGTGTTTTTGTCCCAAAAGCGAAATATCAATTCTACTCGTTGACTGTGACACAACACTTTCAGTCTAAGACCTGAGAAGTTGAAAAACAAGTGTCGCATCAAAAAATATTTTGTTATTGATGCGTGATTTTTTTGATCTATTCTTACTAACTGTCATCTGGTCCATTACGCAGGTATTAGAAAGATAAATGTATGGTATTGGATTTGGCCAATAGCGGTATAATTTATGAAGTAGTTATTCATTAACGCGCTCATGGACATTAATGCTTGATCATGTGATAGCTCCTCAGTTCTATTCAGACAGCGTTCTAGCTTAGTTATTTAGTATTCAGTTTTTCTTTAGTCTTTTTCACCTTTCACTATGCCCGCTAAAAGTAAGAATTCCACCAAGAAGGCAAGTGCATCAAACCCCTGGCTCTCTTCATTCGGTGCGGAGAATGATCTCCCCGATAGCTTGCTTGACGTTTTGAAAGAACACGACATAACTTGTGAACAGATTGTCGTTGGTAAATCTGGGCTATAGTCTCCGACAAACCTGCTGCCATTTCTTTGATCGCGTGATTACAAGTTCGAATATACACGGAAGAAAGCCATCTGGCGACCAATTTCCCTTTAAAGTGTTCGGTGGTTACAGAGATCCTAAGTAAAATGTTTAGTTAGTTTGTACATTGTACTTAACCGACCGATAGTAAACATCTTAGGGAAATTTCTGGTGAAATTCACGCTCTAAAGTCCACTTGACCAGTGACCAACCAGTACAACCAAATCACGTGAATTCCGTACATACCCACGTGCTCGACTAGTTGTCAATTTTACGTCGATTTCCAAAGTCTACCTGTGACCAGTGACTGATCGTTAAAATAAATCACGCGAATAGGATACTGTTCAAGGACACGAATTGTTCTTATCCTGTTATTGTTCTTGTGAGTTTCCCCTAACCTTGAAAAGTTTAGAAATAGTGGAATTTACCGACTCGCTCCTTTTGGGGTATGCAATATGTTTTCTACCGTCTCTCGAAAATTTTATACCATATTAGTTGACACCGCTGAAAGAAAGTTACACCANTTTTTCGCGACAGACGGACTATGATTAACTCCGAAGTGAATATTGCCTCTCGAGGATTTCGTTTGGTATGACTTTAAAATCAATGATAGTTTTATTTACGAAAATACCATCGCGGTCCCATAAGAAATTGCATAACAAATGATATCCTGATATCTCCTGAAGCATTTTTTCCAGGTTGAGCGAAAAATGATATCTTATCGTGGGTCTTTTAACCCCTCAGTTTTAGGAATTGGCCATGAAATTAGAATTAAAAAGCTCACTAGGAAAAAACTGATGTCACATCATTTTGACGGCAGACTTCAAGTCGTCGCTCCGTTTATTCCGCCTTTTTGCGCTTTCCGCTGGCGACTTCTTGAAACAATTATGGCATATTCAAAACGAATTTTGTGTTAGCCATTTCGACATCTAAAAAGATTAAAAATCAATCGAGCAAACTGTATTAACGTCAAAGTTTCATCCATCTATTACAAAGCGGAATCATTTTAAATTGAACCAATATTCCTAGAAGGATAAAATTACTGTTGCAAATTTTACCAGTTATAATGCGACAGAAAAATACTAGTTTCCTTTCTAATTTTTTTTTTCCCTACTTATTCTTCCCCTCTTTTTATTATTTTCAGTAGTAAAGAGTTTTGGTTTAACGAATTCAATGCAGTTCTAGCATCGCTTTAATTACCTTGTTCATTTATTCAACGCTTACACTTCGCTTGAAATGAAGGAAGTTAACTCAAATATTGGTTATTTCTTAAGTATATACTAAACATTGGAATTTAGACACAAGTTTGGTTTTTATCACCGAGCAGCAACTCCGAAAATGGCAGTTTTTTAAGCCGAAGGAAACGAATTGGTTTGGAGCCACAATTAACGGGAAGTCAACACGCTAAGATATATATGAGTCGGTCCGTTTGCAAAAAGCAAGAGGACACATTTACCGTTAAATTTCACAAAGCTCTATCAAAATAAACGGTAAAAATTTCGAAACGAACAGGATCTACTTGTAGTCTTACCCAAAGGCATCGGTCGTCTGTATTCCTTGTAGGAGAACCACGACTAGTAGAACTGACATTAATTGCGATGAGTCCTTCAGTTTGACTCTACTGTACATTTTAGATAGCCCACCTTAGCCTTCTTTTTTTCTGAAGCCGTTCTTATCGTTCTATTGTGTACTGGCGGGAAAAGTATTTCTTTTCTGGTCGGGCGTTTAGCCGTCTTAAACCTCCTGCCTTGGATGAAGAAGGCGGCTAATGTTTTGCGTAAACGAATTAGAAGTTCTTAATATTGGAAAACATTCTTTTCCAAACCTTCAAATATCTTGGCGATGGCACATCAGTAACACACCAGGCGTGCGCGAGCTTTTGATCTATTTTGCATGGTTACCTTGACAATCTTTTAAACTGATCCGTCAAGAATCTACTTCTTTTGTTGTGTTAAATAAGAGTGAAATATCTTTAACCATAAGACGAGGGATATCAATGGAACTACACTAATTCTCTTCAAAGTTTTTGGATAATACACTCCATTTTAAGCGACGTATAATACGAGTTTAATTGAACGTGGTCTCTGGCGGGTTAGTAAAACTATTCTTATGATATTTTTGCACGAGACCAAACGACATCTTCTGGTGTGTCAGAGAAAATAGTAATCCATATTCTTCTTATTTAGACTACTGAACTGTATCTTTTCAAAACTCTGCTCTTTTCAAGTGGCACCTGTACAAAATCAATTCAGCCAAACAAATTAATACTTAAAAATTCAATATTAAGAGCAACGTTAGAATTAATTTTGTATGGAGCGATGAAGCTACAGCTTCACTATGCAGAAGGGCTTTTGAGCCTCGTTTCCCTGAAAGAGTGAAAAATTCTAATTTGGAAGAAGTAACTTTCATATCAAAAGCTGGAGGATTCCTTTATCACTGAACGCCAAGTAGTACTAAAAACCAAACACAGTGGTCGTTCTAATTATTAGAAATTGTTCTTAACCGTAAACAAGGGGAACTCACTGGTGACTTCAAACATTATCTATCCATTAAAAGATGATATTATTGACGGGAAGATATGCAGGAGGTATTTTCAAGCTAATTCGGAATTACAATTTAGAAAATTTAACGAAAGAACCCTTATTAATAATAAAATAAACTGACATCATATCTAAACCTAATTATGTCTAAATATTAGGATTATTCGCACTATGTTTGACGAGCTTTTTCGTTCTTTCCTACGTCTTCTGTTGGTATTGCTTAACACGTTTTATCAGTAGCTATCACTGTTTAAGACACCCCCCAGTACGAAACAGTTTTCGTTTTCTGATAAGGTGGTTGATTGATATTCAAAAATTCTAGCCCACTCGACCACCGAAAACTTTTCCGATACTGGGACACGACTTTACAGTTAAAAAAGAGCGCTAAAGTTGGGAAAATAATCCATTTGGGACTCTTCAAAAAATAAAACAAAAAAACTGGTCGGTTGATATGGTTGACACTAACAAAACACTACCTTTGTGTAAACAGTCTAGGACCATCTATTTGTTAATCAAAGACAAACGTAATAGGCAATCGATACTGACAAGTTCGGGTGTTTGGAGTTACAAAGAGGATTTCTTTAAGGCTTTAACGCTCAGGATTAAGGGATTTTCCAGTCAGTTGAGGTTTGCTAGCAGTTCAGAAGTTGGTATTTTGGAATATTTTATACTGCGTTGTCAAGGAGGAGGCGAAGAATTTATCAATCAACCTGTAAGTCGCACGCTCAGCAAGAGGTGACAGACAGGCAAAGACTCGCGAAATGTAGGGTTGGTTATAATCATTTTATATCACACGCATACACTGTATTGCCAAAATTTTCACTTACTTTATTGGCATTTTTATTAGTATTACGTTCTTTTTAAATAATAAATCGACTAGGTGATATAGAAGCGTTCTTTTGATCGAAATGAAGCAATTATGTATATTTTGAACTATTTTTATTAAAAGTGTCCTCAGTACGTTTATTCAAAGCTTAACGCCTTGACAGTTGAATGAAGTCTTTCATTCGTTCATTTCATTCAATGGAAGGCATACAAAAATGCTACTATCTTCGACTCGTTCTTAAAATTACACTGCTTCATACAACTGATAATACACATTATGCTTAGTAACGAGAAAGCCCGTTTTTGACGAGTAAAAGCTATTTTGCTTTTAAGCACATTAACATTAATTAAATCAAATTTTGTTGATTTTAGTATTCTGCATTTGTTCTCTTTTAACCAGCAAATTTTCATTACTTTCAAAATGATGGTTCAACCAACTTCTGTTTCTCGTTGCAGCGAATAACGTGGTAAACACAACGCGCGTTCATTTTCCTTCTAAAGTAAAGTTCTGAGTTTCTCGGTATCAACCGGAGTGCGTGAGGAAATCTAGAGATTCAACAGCTGCTGTTAAGAATTCAACAATCCTGATAAGTAAGAAGCGTTTTAAGCATATCACAAAGTTTTTGATTCAGGATTATTTGCTACGCGAATAAAAACAGGCTTTGCACACCTAAAGCGGTAATTTTCTCTTTACTATTTTGCAAAAAAAACATGCAAGACAAAGCAAAAACAGGGAGATATAATTAAGAGTTCAAATGGACACAGACGTAGTAAGCGACAGTCCGTACAGTCTTAGCAGTCCAAGTGGGGTTTTATAGCCGCAAAGTTTACAAAATGCATTCATATTACATATACTATGCTACGCCGGCTCTCGTTGATAGGCAGAAGGCAAGTTTTAGTGAAGTATCATCAACACACGGGGAATACCGCATATTATAAAACTGTTTATATTAACCAAAAAAGCCCCTAATAAAGGCATTATACAACAGTCTGATATTTTAATAACACAGCTCGTGGTTTTGAGAAAACTGGTATTATGTAATGGTAACGCAAACGTGTTTGCAAGGATAAAATTAAGCGAAAGAAGTTTTGCACAACGTTTCGATGAATCATGTCATCATTTTCACGTGAAGAGAGAATAAAATTGATAACTTAATATGCGAGGTCTGGAAATCATCGGCGACCTTGCCGACAACAAACACACAATCAGACTCCCGTATGCACAAAACTAATTATTTAAATTCGTCACCATTTACACGTACACTTTTACAACTTTACGTTTTATCACCTCGCATTCTCTCTTCACTTGAAAATGATGACATGGAGTCATCGAAAAGTTGTGTTAAACTTCTTCCCCTTATTTGTATCCTTAAATGTTTAACCAAATTTAATCTTGTTTAAACGTGTTTTTGTCCCAAAAGCGAAATATCAATTCTACTCGTTGACTGTGACACAACACTTTCAGTCTAAGACCTGAGAAGTTGAAAAACAAGTGTCGCATCAAAAAATATTTTGTTATTGATGCGTGATTTTTTTGATCTATTCTTACTAACTGTCATCTGGTCCATTACGCAGGTATTAGAAAGATAAATGTATGGTATTGGATTTGGCCAATAGCGGTATAATTTATGAAGTAGTTATTCATTAACGCGCTCATGGACATTAATGCTTGATCATGTGATAGCTCCTCAGTTCTATTCAGACAGCGTTCTAGCTTAGTTATTTAGTATTCAGTTTTTCTTTAGTCTTTTTCACCTTTCACTATGCCCGCTAAAAGTAAGAATTCCACCAAGAAGGCAAGTGCATCAAACCCCTGGCTCTCTTCATTCGGTGCGGAGAATGATCTCCCCGATAGCTTGCTTGACGTTTTGAAAGAACACGACATAACTTGTGAACAGATTGTCGTTGGTAAATCTGGGCTATAGTCTCCGACAAACCTGCTGCCATTTCTTTGATCGCGTGATTACAAGTTCGAATATACACGGAAGAAAGCCATCTGGCGACCAATTTCCCTTTAAAGTGTTCGGTGGTTACAGAGATCCTAAGTAAAATGTTTAGTTAGTTTGTACATTGTACTTAACCGACCGATAGTAAACATCTTAGGGAAATTTCTGGTGAAATTCACGCTCTAAAGTCCACTTGACCAGTGACCAACCAGTACAACCAAATCACGTGAATTCCGTACATACCCACGTGCTCGACTAGTTGTCAATTTTACGTCGATTTCCAAAGTCTACCTGTGACCAGTGACTGATCGTTAAAATAAATCACGCGAATAGGATACTGTTCAAGGACACGAATTGTTCTTATCCTGTTATTGTTCTTGTGAGTTTCCCCTAACCTTGAAAAGTTTAGAAATAGTGGAATTTACCGACTCGCTCCTTTTGGGGTATGCAATATGTTTTCTACCGTCTCTCGAAAATTTTATACCATATTAGTTGACACCGCTGAAAGAAAGTTACACCATGTCGACTCCATTTCAGTCACTCTACCCAAGTTAGAGTAACCAACTTGCTTCTGAGGCAAACGTTTACAACCATGGGCAAAAAAAGCTCTCCTTCCCCCATTCCTGTGATATTTTAATAATTGTTTTCACTCATATATATGTGTGTGTAATACCTGTAAACATGCTGGTGAGCTGTCGCAGTCTGGGCTGTGACAGCTCACTCTTACATCCACACTCATTGACACAATAAACTTGTATCTATCTGTCTGTGTGTCTGTCTGCCTGTCTGTCTGCCTGTCTGTCTGCCTGTCTGTCTGCCTGTCTGTCTGCCTGTCTTTCTATCTATTATGGAAATATTCGTGGGGTCTGTTTCACCCGCCAGCTTGGTTTTGACAATACTCTTTCTGTTATTTACGTGACTTAAATTCTTGCGAGATGTTTCTTAATTATTTTTAGAGTCATATTTATCATGTTTAACCTGCATTTGTCGATGGGTGATTCTGTTATGGGGAAATGCACCCATAGTTGACAAATTACAATTCAACCAAACAGAGTGTACTTAAAACATATTCACCAGCATTCCTCGCACCCAACAATAGTTACTCTAGTTGCAATAATGACAATGAATTGATAAAATGGAACCATAATTTATCTCAAAGGAGACTTTCAAATAACAGATCTCAGGCTTTCACGAAGAGCAGTTAACAAAAAAGATTTTTCTTTTAAACACATAGAGCCTATTAAATGGGATAAAGATGGAGGGGCGACATGCAAAAATATGATGGACAGGCGTAGATAGTAACTTTTTGCATTAGACGTCTAAACCTTACACAAAGTATACAAAAATGTAATGAAATAAGGTGTAAATATGGCGAAATAAACAAAGTAGAACAGACGAAGACGTGCCATTCGTTCAGAACAGAAGGACAAATTTGGGGCTTCGTTGCTTAGAAATTCTATTCACACCAGAATAGAATGAAAGTGAATATAAAGCGCTTTTTTATAGTAACCAATCATAGCGCTTACTCGAGCAATAAGAACACTGTTCACGTGCACAACTCGTGCAGACTTTAATCTTCATACCAAAGATAAATAAGTAACGCTTCCGTATCTCAAACTACTTAAAAATTCAAATATAGAGAAGTAAAGCGGAACAGACATAAATGTGCCATGCGTTCACAGAAAGAACGGTCTTTGATGACGTAATTTTAACATTTTTTTCCTCATTGACGTACCACTGCATCATGCTAGAAACGAATCAGTTGACTCCAAAACTTTATAAAAAAAAAAAGAGATTGCGAAACTTTAGCTTTTTGGCTGTTATATTCAAGGAGAAATCAGATTTCAAAAACTGCAGAATCACTGGGTGGCAAAAGCGATCGTGAGCTCAAACAATCTTTGTAAAATTTTGAGTTTTTAAGCCCACGTCGCATAAAAAGTATTAATTATAAGTTCATTGGACTCAAATCGCCTGGGATAGCTAATGGTCTTATGCCGTTTCAATCGATAGAACTGACGCTTTTGTAGCTTGATCAGAAATTGAACCGCTTATGCTACAGGGAAAATATTGTAAACAAAGATTCCCCAATAGAAGGAAAGATTTGGAGCTTCGTTGCTTAGAAATTCTACTCACCCCAAAATAGAGTAAAAAAATTAAGCGTTTTAAAAAAATTAACCAATCATAGTGCTTACATGAGCAATTAGTACACTGTTCACATGCACAACTCGTGCAGACTTTAATCTTCCTACCAAAGAGAAATAACTTACGCCCATACATTTCAAAATATTCTATTTTGTAAAAATAAAATATAATCCGAAAGAAAAGCTCGCTTAGATTACAAGATGCCGAAAAACTATTGTTTTCTTAATTCTAATGAAACTATTTTAAAAAAAAACTCTTTCACAAAAAGGAGCTAAAAATCAGCAAACCGTCATGAAAAATTTTAATTCAAAAATAAATTTGTTTGTTCAGTACAGTGTGATTTACCACATTAAGAGTTTTCTCATTCAAGCTTGGTTTGCTCTTCAGAAAGAAGAGTTTGACTTTCATTCCGCATAAACAACCGAGTTGTAACTCAACAGTATCATCAATAACTACCAGTCATTCACCCAAAGAGTACTCTAAGAGTTTATGCAGATCTTCGGTGGAAGATACATGTATTTCCCTATTCTTGCTACAGTTGTAAACAAACCGTGGGATCAGAGTAGCCGAAATGTGGGTTGTTTTTCTTCCATTGGATTTTGAGCAACGCACCACACGATCAAAAGAGTAGAAACAACTCTTGCCATTTGCCTGTGGAAGATCGGACTGAAAACAATTAACTATGTAACGTTTCGGATCTAACTAGATACTGTAAGAGAAATTAGTGGTTCAGAAGTCGATAAAATGTCTCTCTCGAAGGTATTCTAGTGAAATTCTCTATCTGTTAGGTCTGTCGCTTCCTTTGTGCCTATAATTTGTGAATAGCGCACAGTTTAAACGTCTTTACCTGGTGAGCTATTTTTAAAGCTGGTCTTTTCTCGGAAATGCTGACCAAAATTCCAAGAAACAGCCGTGACGCTTAGATTGTTATTCAAATTTGGCGACACTTACGCAATCTACCAAGACTTGTTTGCGAAGCCCAAAGAGGGTTGCCCTGTGTGGGAGACCACGCACCAAACAGCTTCGCTAAAACAATCGCCCGCGTCCAGTAACCATATAGGACTATGCTCAATACATGCCCACTTTATCACTATCAGCCAGTCAGCCAAAGGAGGGACAAAAGTTATGGAAATATGCCCAGCAAACTTACTCACTCACAAACGGCGATTTGTCGAGGCCATTTCTGAGTTTCGCCGTTCACGAAAAAAAACTTACACACACACACAAAAAAAAACAGTAACAATAGCAGAGAAGAGAACTAAATAAATGAAAATCAAAATAAAACTGAAATATTTCCTTTTCAGATAGTTCGGTTTACAAATTAATCATCAGCGTATTTGTCGATAGAACTTATGACACCCCCCCCCCCCCCCTCCGGAGGCATATTTGACGGTTTTATCTTTCTAAAAAATGTAAACTCGCATAGCACAATGTAAGTGAGACAGCTCTAGCTTATTTTGGCGCGAAATCAACTTGCTCTCCTCCAGCATAGTACTTGTTTGGCAAATACCTTGGTTGTTTTCCAGTTGAAAATAAAATATTGGAAATTCTCGTTGAGATGCCAATGGAGCACGACTAGTTTTGGATCAGTTCACGGGAAAATGTCCGGAAGAAACGGAAATTCTGAAAAGGTTAACCCGTCCCCGTTTGTTCGTTCGGCCGTTTCCCCAGGGGAAGTACTCCCTTATGAAAAGATCAGGGATGCTCGTCAGAAAATTTGAATTAAACCCCTAAAGGAGACCAATCTGGACTTAGTTCGAGATGTATTTGACTCCTAAAAGATACCACTTAAAATAGAATAGGCTCTATTACCAGCCACTGTTCAGAAAATTAGCCCGCGCTGGAAGACAAGACTCCAGCCTAAAATAGAAATTAGAGCCTTTTTTAATACCATTTCTTGGAGTGCACCCCAAAAGATAATTTGACAGCTAAAAATAGTGGTATTTCTTCATGACCTCCCAAATCGAGACAAAACTCTTTGATTTTATCCTCCTGAGCGAGACGACAGCCCCCTCCCCCTCCCCCCGGGCCGTTCCGAACGGAAATTCGAGTTCCATTTTCTATCAATTGCACCAGTACCACGCCCCAAAGCAATTTCTTCCGCGAAACTTCAAAAGGAGCACAATCCCCCCGAACGGAAACTCCCAACCGGTAAACGGTAGACAACATTTTAGGTCCACGAGTACATCAACGAGTCGGGCGAACTGTCAAGTTGCTGTCCAATACGTTGCGGGCAGGCCTGTTTTTCGAATCCTCTCATTCGATATTTGATTGGAGGATTATTTGTGAGCGCTTGAAAAGTTTTTCTTTATGAAAACCATGCCCGCTCGCGATCACACTAACATCAAGTGTAAGCGTGTAATGGGCCATTTCACGATTAACACGATGGCCATTTCACGATCCAAAGTGGATCCAAAACTAGTAAAAACGATGTAGTTTTAGGCAATTAAAAAAATTGCACCAGATAGCCCTTTTCACGATTATTTTTTCTCATTTGCATGATAATTAAATCCAACGGAAGTGTGAGGCAATTTCGACTAATTGTGTGGTTTCTGCCCAAAATTGCCTCGCATACATTGTTGTTTAAGATATGGTCTGCCAAAGTGCTTTATTAAAAATAGCCCTCTTGTGTTTAACATTGTTTGTAAATGAATGTGTTTGTTGAAGAAACTATAAGGACGTGTAATGGAATTCATATTTATTTTTAATCAGCCGGAAATGGCATTCAGAAATCAACGATATTGCCAGTCAAAATATGGATCAACGAAAAAATAATCATCTTTTTTACTGAAAGGAGCCTAATAGTGAAGGGGTCTTGTCCCATTGAGTAATAATAAATATGCGCACAATGAAAATTGAAGAAGTTATTTCATAAATAGCCACCAACATAAACTGACCAACAATATGAACATTGACACTTGTAAAAAAGAATTAATACCACAAAGTCTAGTGGTATTTTAAGTGGTATTTTAAGTGTGAAGTCACAAATTATTTTTACCAAGCCTCAAAATCCTATCTTTAGATATCAAATGCTGCTCTATGATCAGTCACAAAATTTCAACTTGTTAGCATGAGTAGAGAGGATATAGAATTAAAAGTTTAGTACCATCCCTTACAAACCTCTCTAATCTTGTACTGCTTCTATTGAATAGCCTGTGTACATCTGCCCCCTCCTCTCAAAAAAATCGAGTTTTTTTAGGGGAAGGGGTGGATGCCACCAAATACTTTTCTGATGGTCTCCGGATTTGAGTGTTATAACCTAGGGAAAAAAATAACACAGTGAAATGCTGTACTAGGGAAACAAATTTGAATCAAGGATTCTGTTGATTTTGGGCAACGAAGTCATTTATTTTGGTAAATTAAATAGAACGATTCCCTCTATATCGTTAGCAAACGGCTACACATTTCGTGTAAACCACACAAAAGTCGACGTTTTGAGCTGTCACGCTAGGAGCGTTGCGTGAAGTCGCAAATATTGACATATGAACACATATGGAACATCGACAAAAACATACAATTTTTAACTGTATCAAGTCATAAATCACTACAGACTGCTAACTATTGAGATACATAACATTTCTGTAAGGGCTATAAGACTTTTTAGAGAAAATCAGCGGTGGATAAGACTAGAAAATACCTTGACTGATCCTTCTTCGCTGTAATTCTCCTACCAAAGTCCCATTGCAATAGATTTGCAGTATATCATCACCAAGCGTTCATTCCTTAGCAAATAAAATATTTGTCTTTTATATTAAATGCATTTAGTTTTATTTCGAGGCTCGAACAAGCGTCAAACAATCTTACTTGGCCTTTATGAGTTCCTTTGTTCATTTTGTAGCACGTTGCATATGGCGAGTTTATCTCGTCACTTTCTTGTTTCTTCATTATAGCTGTCCTCGTAATTGTGTCACTCCGAACCAGTTTTGTCGCTTATTTTTTTCAATATGTGACTCCAAACAAGAAAGCGGTAGTAGCCGATGATTTGACGAAACCGTAGCTAGCCCCATGAGGCATACTATTTACATATTGATGATATTGAAAATGTATGAGGTTGTATGGAATTCAGAACTAAGACTTTCTGCCGATAAATAATGTCCAAATCACGAAATAAAGTTCACGAAACTGCATCTGGTGTTGCTGCCTATCGCTACGTTGTGTTTCTAGGTAATTTGAGCAAATTTTCTGTCATGTATTACATAAAAGCGCAGGAAAGACGGCGAGTCGACACGAGCCTCTAGCGTTCGCAAATTGCCCGAAATATAGCACAAAAATAGCTAATGCTGCCATTCTACTTCGTCAGCCTTGTGGGGCAAGAGTTTAACAACATCTCCATTCAATAAAATTGCACATACCTTGTTTTTTAACGGAATTAGCAGCGCCATAAAACTCAAATACCGTTTTGAAATTGCCGCCGTGAAGGGGTGAACACATAAGCGCGGCCAGCATTGGGTATCAGGTTAAAAAAAATCCTTACAGGGAGGGGCATGTCATTTTGGGGACAGAGGAAAGTGGCCTTTGTAGAGAGGTGGCCGTTATGGGAAGATAGGGGTGTAGGGGTTTTTTCCTGGGTCTTTAAAAATGCATAGTGTAGCATGTAAATACGTAACACAGTCAACATATATCAATAAAACAGAAACCAAACAGAAACGATACGAACGGTATGGATCAAGTTTCGTGACCTTTCCCAGTAAAAAATGAGGTTTTGTATACACCGTTCGTCAGTTGTTGATTGCGTGTAACTGGTCGTTGTTGTTTCGGCAGTTGGGACACGCTTCAGTGGCCGTTGCGCATGCCGTTGTGGAGAGGTGGCCGTTAGTGGAGGTTCGATTGTAATTTGCTACACCTGCCAAACCGGCCGTGTTTGCAGATTGAGGAGTGCCTTCTTCTTTTTTGTTTTCTTTTTTCTTTTCCCTATTTTTTGTTTGGATTTTTTTCTTTTTATAGCCTCTTAGAAAGCATCGCGCAGAGCTTTATCTAGATTCTGCGGAGGGGACACACATTTAGTAATATAAAAAAAAGAAAATACAGAAAGAACCGTGTATACAAATAGGTCACGCTAGTGTCACGGCATGTGTGAGGTCCTGTCAATTTGTCCGAACAGTTCTTAGCCACGTCACAGACCATCCACATCGCACTGTTTTTCCCAAGAAAATTGCTGAAAATATAAACCATTTATCCCGGACATAATTTCTGTCTAGCCTACCCATGTTAAAACAGCCGGTATCCTTACGAAGGTTAAAATTGGCTGGTTCAAAAAAGTCTTTTTATTCTCTTCAACTTCTTTTCGTTTAAAAGGGGCTGTGCGATACACGGCGTGACACTCGCCACGCGATCAGTGGTATAATGGGCGTTTTTTAACCTTTTTCTTGGACACATGATTAGAAAAAAATAAAATAAAAACGGCGACCTAACATATATCCACGCTCGCGTATCGTGCTTGGCGCTACGCCCTTCCAAACCACCTGTTCCGTAGGCTACTTTATAGAAACACCACCCGGAGAACTCTCTGTCGTTTATACTTTGTCTTCATTGTTGGAACTTAACGAATTCTAAATTCTAAACTCACGCCTTTTGCCATTAATAGCATGTGTTTTTGTTCACAGGCGTGATTTTATTTCATTTCATAATTTTAGCCAATCGTGGCCCAAAACGTGCTCGCGCGTTCGCTTGAACTTTGATGTCGTAAATTTCCAGATTTTCTTCTTTGTTGTAATTTTTTTTGGTCGTGTGAAGGTTTTTGGCCACCCTCTTCGCAGTTTTTAGCCATTGTAATTTGTGTTTCGGTAGGCGCATTAAATAGTTCACTCGTTTCGTTGGAGTCTAAGCCTACAACTCGCTGAAACAATTTCTCGTGTGTACACTGAGAAAATTCAAGTGACTCGCGAGATATTCCACGGCATACCACTTTAAAGCGCTACATAACTAGTATTTATCATGCCGAAGTTAGCAAATATGTCAAGTTTCACAAGAATCTGTTGCAAGGTCATGGAAATATGGGACCCCCAAACTTGTTAATTTTCACCTGAAAGAAATGTATGCCAGAGGGCAAGTGCTTGCCTCCTTGTATACATTTCTTTGTAAAAATTGGCAATAATAATAATAATAATAATAATAATAGTAATAATTATCAACTTTATTTATTGAGGGTTGCACACAACAGTAATCACTGGCAAGTAAGTAGAAGTAAAGAAATAAGAAATACGAGCCCTTTTCGGCAAACATTACAAGTGAGATCAGGAAGGCACGCGCGCATACACGCTTGCAAGCAAACACCCACGCACACACGAATTTAAATCTAAAAAGACAAGAAACATATCAATTTGTCAGTTCCAGGACACTGATTTATTTTGAACATGTATTTCTCCCGTTTCACAAAGCTAGTAATTTTGTTTCCTCTCAGAAGGTAATAACTTTAACGCAGTTACTGTCTATTTAACAACCCAGTTTTTCCCCGAAATCTATCTGACTATTTAACGACGTCGTCGACGACCGACACCTTGCTGATTAATTTCCACTGTTTGCCCTTTCTCGTTGATTTCTTCCATGCCGCCCTTATCCGGCTCAGAAATACACTTGTACTGTCGACAGCGGCACGACTTGATCTCCATGAAGTTGGTAACGCGGGTCTCGCCGTTTTCGCACGTCAGAGTTGCTGTCCTGAGTTGACCCAAAGCCGGCTGGCAACAAGAGCAGAAGGTTTCCACACCAGTTTCTCCGTAAGTCGCGTTGGAAGAGGAATCACAACTTCCCATGCACCTATTGTGCAGATACTTCAGTTTCGATGTGCAGTTGTCTCTGGTACGGATATAATCAAACTTCACCTTTTCTAGCTTGCAAGTACCACTGATGGTGATGTTGTAATCAGGCCCGGGTTCTGGAAAAAAAAAAAAAAAGAATTAAATATGGTTTTAGACAACTTCGGAAAAAATGGGCCTGGGCTGGCCATTCCCACAAACACTTGTCAATTAACCACCATACCTTCCCTCCCGCACTGAGACCTTATAACTAAAAATGCGGTTTACTATGTCAATTTCGATATGTTAAAATTCTAACTTAGCGCCGAAGCTTAGGGGAATAAAACAAAAGAACTCCTTTATTCATCCCTTAATTTCCATGTGATTTCTTTTGTGTTATTCCTCTAAAACCCAGCGCTAAGTTAGAATTTTAATATATCGAAATTGGCCTATTCTTATTAAGAATATTCCGTTAAAAATATTGAATCTTCTTACACTCGTTCGAAGCTGCATTTCTTACTTACCACATGGAGGACAACATTCTTTGTCATTGGCAGGAGGACGGATATAACCCTGCGATAAAATTATGAAACGATGTAAGAAGCAATTTATCTAATTCAGTAAAACACAATAGCATCGGGATATAATGCCTGAACTAATAAATGTTATGTTGGCATAGGAATTCAGCGACTGACTGTAAATAGTGTATGAACACAGACCGCATGGTATTTGAAAGACAGTGAATCTGAAATAATTTAAAAACAAAACAAAGCGAAGAACACCATAAGCTCATACACAGGTTTTGATAATTCTCAATATTTGAGCTCTTATTCCACGTAATCAGCCACCGAGAAACATTACTTCGCTGTATTACGGTTGTCCTAGAAAGCAAATATCACATCGTCAGACTTCGGACAATCCCAAGCCAGCAAGGACCGAGATTCTACTAAGTTGCATCAAAATCACCTTAAAAAACATCACTTCTGGACGTACATGCAGCAGCCAATATTTAGGACTTTTCGAAAACGACGTTTCAACTCCTTTACCTCATTATGAGCTAAAGGGGTCAGAAATTGTACGAACAGGTCGCCACAAGTCTATAGCAACTAACTGCGTGCAACTCAATTTTTTGTACAATACTGCTACATATGCTAAAATCACTCATGAAAATTTTGCATGGTAGGATATCTACTACATGTATGAAGGCCTTTGGTGATATTGAAAGGACTTCCGGCCTGTGCTGCAGATGTGAAAACAGATGAAGTACCAGAAAAAACTGTTATAAAACATACCGCTGGGCATTTATCGCAGAAGATGTGTTCAGTGTAGATCTGTGCACTCTGGTTCAAAGGATAACACGGGTTCACAGACAGTTCGCACTTCAACCTCTTGCAGCTGCCATCTGTCCAAGAAGAGCCCACCTACAACCAGAATATATAACCAGGACCTTAGAACACAGCTCAATATGGGGCAAAACAAAGAAAATGTAATCGCTTCCAGGAACTCCACTTGCACAAATCAAAGCACTGTGTAGTCTTTGAAAAATTTACGAGGGCTTATTTATTGCAAATTGCACCAGAAAAAGCATTTAAGTAATCGCGCGGGTAATTTCCAAATTGTATGAGCGCGAAGCGCGAGGCCGATTTGATATTACGAACACGATTACTCCCTGAATTGTACGACACGAGGTCCAGTTACTAATTAATTATATCTATAACAAGTTTTGAAACTAAAAAAGTCTTTTAAGGACTTCTTTTGAGCGAAAAAGTCAGTTGCGCTTTCTGCGAGTCAATTCAAAAACTGTAGGAAACATTGAGAGGGAAGACATTAAAGCGCGCGTAAGTAAGGCGCGAATGGCGTGGGTATTCAATTACAAGTATCCAATTACGAAAAGCTGTAATTGGATACCCGTAATTTGATACCCCATGGTCATGCGCCGATTACGTGACAAATAGGTACAGGGAAAACCAATCACGATCGAGAATTTTGTTTTAGATACCATTAATACGTTATCACTCGTGAAAGTTTGGGAGAACTCGAAAAAGCTGTGGATACACTCGCCTATCCGCTCTTGTTCCCACAGCATTTTTCGTTCTCCCAAACTTCGTGTTTCTATAACTCGATATAAATACGAAACATGTTTTCTATTTCTTAAATAAAGAGGTTGGGCTTCCTTTGAGGTAATTAGATGGATGTATGGATGGACTATAGCTCTTGGCTCATGTAACTCACCGCGTGATATTCTGTCTCGTTTTTGCTGTTTATGTACACACAAGAAGGACAGAAAGAAGCTGCAGGAATGAAAAAGGTACAATCAGACAGTGTAAAGTTAAAAAAATGCCTACATCGAATGCCTAAATCACTGATAATTTTTTAAACCATACAAAAAAGCACTCAGTTCTTGTACAGAAATAGAACAGTCATTAACGGGTGGGCCTCAAAGCAGCTATTACGTTTATGATTTGTGAAGCCAAGGCAAATAAAATAGCGGAACTTTGGTCAAAGATCTGAAACCATCCAAAAATTTGTGTCTTGCTGTGTCTATGTAAAATAAAGGCCACAATTATTCTAAATGGCCGAGGAAAGTCAAGAATATTCCACTCGCCCGCAATAAAATTAACTGTTTAAGCTAGGGCCCTAAGAAGTCCTCCTTCTCTGGTAGTGGGGCTTGGAAACGAGTCTTGTAAACAGCACTGAGGACACGGCAAACTAGCCAAATACCTTAACAGAGTACATGAGAATTCTTAAAGAACAGTCAGTGAAGACTCACTGGTACGATCTTTATAAAAGTGCGGTAACCTGATTTCATCGCTGGCTTCTTGATACCATAGTCAATAGTAAAAGAGTAAATTTGGAACAAGTAGGACCCATATTTGCCCTGATTTTGCGTTCCCTCTTTATGCATATTAAAAGCAACCAATCAATACTTACAAATACTCGAGGATATCGAAATAGTGGACGACAGAGTAGGAGTGATGGTGCTGAACACACTCACTGAGGAAGAATACGAGGAAGAGATACTTGAAGACGTGGACACTGTTGGGGTGCCTGTGGTTACCAAACTGCTCGAGCTGAAAAGGGAATCAAACATTTCTTACAACTTTCAATCGGTCAAGTCTGCGTTCGAGCCCAGCGGCCCACCACGCTAGCACTTCTCTCCGGTTTCCTTGGCATGAAGTGACTAGGAGTCTTTCTACTCCCCCCTGAATGAGATGCCAACCCATCGCAGGGTTACCCGAACCATCAAATACACCCCAATCTATTTATACACCTCGCCCCAGTTGTTTGAAGGCCATCGGAAAAATCGCTATCCAGTGGATAACTCTTAACAAAACAACGCAGGCTAGCCGCTGGATAGTGATTTATCCGGTGGATAGCGTTATCCACCTTTCCCACAAACCAGGCCTGGGCAGAGAGATGCATTGCGAGAGTTACGTCTCTTGCGGAAAATAAATCCTGACAAGGAAGGCAACAAAACAAAAGTTAAACCGTAGCATATAACTTACTTCACCCCCGTGACAAACCATTCGAAATTAAACGATAAGTTCTGTCAATATTTTTCGCCACGCATTTCGTAATCTTAAACATTAAACAGAAATATTATTAAATATTAAACAGAGAAAGCAGTGGTTAATTTCATTTAGGAAAACCGAGACAAGAGTTTGAAACACAACTGGCAAGGTCTCTGGAATTCCGATGAAACACTTTCTCGAGTGTTAACTCGAGAAAGTGTTTGACCTCAACACATCTTTAACCTCATCTCCCACATTAAAACAAAATGTAATAAGTGATAGTTGTGATTATCTTCATCTCAATTTGACGAATTATTCACAAGTTTGAGAAAAACAATTCATACCGTGATCTGCTGGTCGAAGTAGACGTTGATACTGTTGTAGAAACGGATGTTGATACACTTGTTGTAGTAGATGTTGACCCACTTGAACTTACAGAAGTGGACGTTGAGGTACTGGTGCTGGCACTTGAATATGTCGAGTAAACAGTTGTTGTTGGAGTACTGACACTTGATGAGGTTGATGTGGAAACACTGGTTGAGGTACTTGTGCTGATTGACGTTGATACACTTGAACTCAACGAAGTAGATGTTGAGGTACTTGTGCTTGCACTTGAATATGTCGAGTAAACAGTTGTTGTTGGAGTACTGACACTTGTGGAGGTTGACGTTGATGTAGAAACACTGGTTGAGACACTACTGCTGAGTGATGTTGACACACTTGTTGTGGTAGATGTCGAAACACTTGAACTCAATGAAGTCGTTGTTGAAATACTTGTACTGGCACTTGAATATGTCGAGTAAACTGTTGTTGTTGGAGTACTGACACTTGACGAGGTTGATGTGGAAAAACTGGTTGAGGTACTTGTGCTGATTGACGTTGATACACTTGAACTCAACGATGTGGATGTTGAAGTACTTGTGCTGGCACTTGAATATGTCGAGTACACTGTTGTTGTAGGAGTACTCACACTGGCAGAGGTTGATGTAGATACACTGCTTGAAATACTCGTGGTCTTTGATGTTGATATGCTTGTTGACACACTTGAGCTCAACGAAGTTGATGTTGAAGTACTTGTGCTGGCACTTGAATATGTGGAATAAACGGTTGTTGTTGGAGTACTGACACTTGTTGAGGTTGAAGTTGACGTGGAGACACTGCTTGACACACTAGTGCTGACTGATGTTGATACGCTTGATGTAGTTGATGTCGACACACTTGAACTCAATGAAGTCGTTGTTGAAATACTTGTACTTGCACTTGAGTATGTCGAGTAAATTGTAGTTGTTGGAGTACTAACACTTGTTGAAGTTGATGTGGACACGCTGCTCGACACACTCGTACTAACAGATGTTGAAACACTTGTCGAAGTAGATGTTGACACACTTGAACTCAGTGAAGAGGATGTTGAGGTACTTGTGGTGGCAGTTGAATATGTCGAGTAAACAGTTGTTGTTGGAGTACTCACGCTTGCGGAAGTCGAGGTGGACACGCTGCTTGACACACTTGTGGTTACTGATGTTGACGTACTTGTTGACACACTTGAGCTAAGCGAAGTGGAAGTCGAGGTACTAGTGCTCGCACTTGAATATGTCGAGGAGACCGTTGTTGTTGGAGTACTGACACGTTTCGTGGTTGAGGCTGATGTGGACACACTGCTTGACACACTAGTGCTAACTGATGTTGATACACTTGTCGTAGTAGAAGTGGACACACTTGAACTTAGTGAGGTCGTTGTAGAAACGCTTGTGCTTGCACTTGAATATGTCGAGTAAACTGTTGTTGTTGGAGTACTCACACTCTTTGAGATTGATGTGGATACACTGGTTGAAGTACTTGTGCTAACTGATGTTGATGGGCTGGAACTTAACGAAGTGGATGTCGAAGTACTTGTGCTTGTACTTGTTGAGGTAGGTGTGGACACACTGTGATAAGAGAAAATGTTTACATGATAGCGGATTTCAACCGACTTAATTGCTAATATTTAGTCGTGGAGCATGGAAACTTCAATCCGTTTCATTCACTGAATTTGACTCTACAACTGTTTGTTTGTTTTTAATTTTACACTATGCAGTGGTACGTGCTTAGGGTAGCAAATTTGAGAATAGCTTCTGTCAAAATATTTGGTATTGAATTACTTTAAACTTCAGTTGAAAGTGATTTTCCGTATTTTGCTACCTGAAGTTTAGATTTTTCTTGAACTTACATACGGTGTACAGCTGAATGAGAAAATGAATCATGGTGGGTGTCATGACTTATAAACAGTGAAATTTGAAAAGCTTGAACAACAACACTAAATTTACTGTAGCGTAGTTTGGTGGAATTCATGTTCTGCAAATTCATCTCTTACCTCGTGGAAACTGACGTGGATACACTTGTTGTTGTTGACGTTGACACACTTGAGCTATGCGAAAATAACAATTAACATAGAATTAAATCATTGGTATTGGTATTATGCAATAATAACAACGAGGCCTTGTAGTATCACTAACTGTAATACAATAAGTTTCGTTTGTATGGACCATAAGTGGGTGAACTTGGGAAAAGTTACCGTCAGTCAGTCGGTTAGTCGGTCAGTTGGTCAGGTCAGTCGGTCAGAAAGAAAGAGAAAGTTACTAATCAACAAATGTTCGCATCTCCTCTCTTTTAGATTCCCCCAAAATGGCAATTATCACCCTTCCTCCCAAAAATGTTCCCCCCTTCTTCTCCATTACAATACTTGGTCTATATTCAAGAAAGTACGGTGCAAAAGATTTCCTTAAAAGGATGGCCATTATTAAGAGGGAACAGTACGATATGAGAAAGGAATCCAACCAATACAAATGCTACAAAATCTGCTTGACATGTTGAGACTTGAAATGACCCCTACCCTCCTCCTCCGCCCCTCCACCTCCCTCTCTTTGTTTTTACATTCCGGCTCCCCCTCTATCAAGTCTCTTTCTGCTCTTATGCATGGTATCTCGGAATTGGGATGCACTCTTTTGTTCATGACATGAGTCACAGAACACGTTCTTGCTTCAACTTCTTTGGGCTTCTCGAACTCTTGACCAGCCCTTCACTAACAGAAAAATCTAATAACCTGTAAGATGAAACAGTTGGTTTGGACGTTCGTGCCGGCGGCTTCAAACTTGGCGGTATTCTACTTGTTGTAGGAATGGAGAATTGTGTCCCTGTAGTTGTCACCACGGTAGACGGGAACACGGTGGCTGCGGTCTTCTGAGAAACTGATTTATATGAAGTTGTCTCTGATTCAGAGGATGACGGTGACGGGAACACTGGAGACGACTTTGTTGTTGACGTCACTGTAAACCCTGATCTTGGTGAAGATTCACTTATCACGCGTGAAGATGGAACTTGAGTGAGGACAGGTCTAAGCGGTTAGAACAAATGAGTTGGCACCTTTACAGATCATCTTGATCTTAATGTAACTGTATTCATGGAATATACTAATAAGTCTTCCCCAGTAAAAACTCCAGTGTTAACAACGCCGTACCATTATCATATTAAAGCTTGAAAATTTAGAGTACTAGTTACTATTAGCATAACCCAGCGGCTGACTATCAGAAACCTCGCAATCTGTTTGGCTAAACGGCTACTTACCATTTAACAATTAGATTATGAAGTTCAGATTTCTATGAGGTGATAGTTGACGAGGCCGAAGGCCGAATTAACTATCACCTCATTGAAATCGAAAGGGAATAATCTAATTGTTTGAGTAGAAATCTTACTAAAATTCGTTCAAATAAATATTTCCAATTATTCTCTTCTAGTAAGTATTTAAGTTGACGGGAATTTAATTGTTTGTTTAGTCTTTTAGTTTTTTATATGCGATCATCAGTTAATTGAAAAAGTATGAGGTTTTAAAGTCGCTTAGCAGTCAATTTCCTTTCTTGAGTATTCTTGGGAAGTGCATTAGCCGATAACAATTCTAAATTTTTCTCGAAACATCGGAAAACGAGAAAATGCTCCCATCTTGAATAAGAACTCCAGCCACTGCACACTTATGGCTGATAGTGTACGAGTTGCCCAGCTAATCAAATTGCAGTATTTGCATTACTATAAGAGTAGAATTCTACTAGTAATCAATGGAAAAATCATAGAGCGTGCGTGGATTTTTGTGTATTATGGCCGAAAAGTACTCAACAAAATCTTGTATAAATAGCTTTAATCGACATTACATGTTTCGACGAACAGCGACTGGGTTAGTATTAAAACAATTAATCTTCTAGCTCACGGTGTCTTGGACACCACCACCATCATCATCCTTGCCCCCTCGCCTTCCTCCTCCTCCTCCTCCTCCTCATCATCATCATCATCATCACTATCACCAACTCAATCATCGTCATCATCATCATTATCACCATCTCAATCATCATCATCATCATCATCATCATCATCATTATTAGTCTTTGCCATTACTACTACAACACACCCCTCCCCCGCATCCTGAACGGAAGTACTCTACGCTGCGACCTGTGAAACCCAAATCCACGCTTCATTCACACGGAGATCAGCGAAAGACCCAAGACTATAAATAAGACCGAAGTTAGACCGCGGCCTTAAGATCCAACTACGACCAAATATGGCGAAACACTGTTGTTTACAGCAGCATATTTAACTGTTTATAAAACAAGCCGAGAAACGTCTTAAATAGAACTGGCTAACGAAATTGGTCAAAGCAACCGACGACTATGCTGAGGAGTCAGGCATCCCATATATGGCAACAATAACGTCATGCCCGATTTCCAAAAGGACAACACGGATGGCGAGAAAATGTTTGCTACATTTCCTGTCTTACAAAAATAGTAAGCATGAATTGTATCTGGTATTTGGAATAATACGTTCGGTTTGTAACCGCAAACTTGTGGTTAAGACTTTACCAAACTTATGTCTCGCAAATAAGAAACAAATATTTTTTTGAAACAATATTTCATTGTATTACATTTTTTCACAACATTATTACATTGCACCGATCCAATTTCGACAAATAGACCATCAAAACGAAAAACAGCTGACATCAATGCCTTCTATTTGAAAGTCTACCTGAAAACTGCATTCCTTCGTCTCTGGGATTTGACTAGTTTTCAGAACAACTTAAAGCCTTTTATGCTTTTCTTACTTTTCTCTTGATTATCATTTGTGATTTGCCATTAAATATGACAACATAGCAATAGCTCTATACTGCCGTTGACCAAACGACGGAAAGATCTGCTATTCCCGCTCAGAGAAGAGGAGAGAAGTTAATTAGTCAGATTTTTAACGTTCCAATCCCTAGTTACTTTTCCAAAAACTTGGTACAAAAGTACTTTGAGAATAAAAAGAGCTAACACAAAGAAAACCCCAGCTTTGAAAACATTCTTGTTCGATGTTACAAAATTTATATTTGTCTCTTTCACACCTCATTTCCACAGCGAATATGTTATCCCGCAAGCAAAACGTATTTCTCGGCAATTGTCGCTTATATTTAGTCGTGACTAAGAGCTCTCAACCTAAGAAATGGGAAGTGGCACACGCTCTACAAACACACGCGGACCTACAAGCCCAGTTGGAAAAGGGCTGGTAAAGCTAGGTTATTGCTGACAGTTTTCCAAAGGCTTCGTGCAAATTCAGTCATCTTTTAGGTATATCAACTGTAACAGTCCAAAGAAAATCATTTTCTAAAACAACTTGCACACCTCAAGACGACCTTTCTCTTGTACACAAACATGGTCTGAAAAGCCAGAACTAGGACTAAATGTAAAAGGCCGACCTAAGTCTATGAAAAACCACCTAGCCAAGGACAAACACACGCACTTTACGTAGAATAACCAAGCAATCAAACTAATAAATAAACAACCACAGAATAATATAATCACTCATTGTTATCACGCGGCATACCTGGAAATACTCTTGGACGTTGAAGTACTTGTTGAAGTTGAAGTAGACACACTACTTGACAAACTAGTGCTGACTGATGTTGATACACTTGTTGAAATAGATGTTGACACACTTGAACTTAACGATGTCGAAGTTGAGGTACTTGTTGACTTTGAAGTAGATACACTACTTGAGGTACTTGTGCTGACTGATGTTGACGCACTTGAAGTCGACGCGATCGAAACTGTTGTTATCGGAGTACTGACACTTGCTGAGGTTGATGTGGACACGCTGCTTGACACACTAGTGCTGACTGATGATGACAAACTTGTTGTGGTAGATGTCGACACGCTTGAACTCAGGGACGTGGATTTTGAAGTACTTGTGCTGGAACTTGAATATGTCGAATAAACCGTTGTTGTTGGAGTACTCACACTTGTTGATGTGGAAGTGGATGTGGAGACACTGCTTGACACACTAGTGCTGACTGATGTGGATACACTTGTTGTGGTCGATGTCGACACACTTGAAGTCAGTGATGTCGTCGTTGAAACACTTGTACTTGCACTTGAATATGTAGAGTAAATCGTTGTTGTGGGAGTACTTACACTTGTTGAGGTTGAGGTTGAAGTAGAGATGCTACTCGACACACTAGTGCTCACTGATGTTGATACACTTGTTGACACACTCGAACTTAATGATGTCGACGTTGAAGTGCTTAATGATGTCGATGCTGAAGTACTTGTAGACTTTGAAGTGGACACACTAGTTGAGGTACTTGTGCTAGCACTTGAATACGTCGAGTAAACCGTTGTTGGTGGAGTACTGACACTTGTGGAGGTTGAGGTTGATGTAGAGACACTGGTTGAGACACTACTGCTGAGTGATGTTGACACACTTGTTGTGGTCGATGTCGACACACTTGAACTCAGTGATGTCGTCGTTGAAATGCTTGTACTCGCACTTGAATATGTCGAGTACACCGTTGTTGTGGGAGTGCTGACACTTGTTGAGATTGAGGTTGAAGTGGAGATGCTGCTCGACACACTGGTGCTCACTGATGTTGATACACTTTTTGACACACTCGAACTTAATGATGTCGACGTTGAAGTGCTCGTCGACTTTGAACTGGACACACTAGCTGAGGTACTTGTGCTTGCACTTGAATATGTTGAGTAAACCGTTGTTGTTGGAGTACTCACACTTGTTGAGGTTGATGTGGATACGCTGCTTGACACACTTGTGGTCACTGAAGTTGATGCACTTGATGACACACTTGAGCTCACCGAAGTAGATGTACTTGTGCTGGCACTTGAAAATGTGGAGTAAATCGTTGTTGTTGGGGTACTGACACTTGTTGAGGTTGATGTTGACACGCTGGTAGACACACTAGTGCTGACGGATGTTGATACACTTGTCGACACACTGGAACTCAGCGAGGTGGATCTTGATATACTTGTGCTGGCACTTGAGTATGTCGAGTAAACCGTTGTGGTTGGAGTACTGACACTAGCGGAGGTTGATGTTGAGACACTGCTTGATACACTGGTGCTAACTGATGTTGATGTACTTGTTGAGGTCGACGTGGACACACTTGAACTCAATGATGTCGATGTTGAGGTACCTGTGCTTGCACTTGAGTATGTCGAGTAAACCGTTGTTGTTGGAGTACTGACACTTGTTGAGGTTGATGTCGAGACACTGCTTGATACACTGGTGCTGACAGACGTTGACACACTTGTGGTAGTAGATGTCGACACACTTGAACTGAGCGAAGTCGTTGTTGAAACACTAGTGCTGGCACTTGAATATGTCGAGTATACCGTTGTCGTTGGCGTACTGACACTTACTGAGGTCGAAGTTGATGTGGAGACACTGCTTGACACACTAGTGCTGACTGATGTTGATATGCTTGTTGACACACTTGAACTTAACGAAGTAGATGTTGAAGTACTTGTGCTTGCACTTGAATATGTCGAGTATACTGTTGTTGTTGGGGTACTAACACTCGCTGAGGTTGATGTGGACACACTAGTGCTAACTGATGTTGATACACTTGTTGTAGTAGATGTTGACACACTTGAACTCACAGAAGTGGATGTTGAAGTACTTGTGCTGGCACTTGAATACGTCGAGTAAACCGTTGTTGTTGGAGTACTGACACCTGTTGAGGTTGACGTTGATGTGGAGACACTGCTTGACACACTTGTGCTGACTGATGTTGATACACTTGTTGTAGTCGATGTTGATACACTTGAACTGAGTGAAGTCGTTGTTGAAACACTTGTACTAGCGCTTGAATATGTCGAGTACACTGTTGTCGTTGGAGTGCTGACACTCGTTGAGGTTGATGTTGAAGTGGACACACTGCTCGACACACTTGTGCTAACTGATGTTGATGTACTTGTACTAGTTGACGTTGACGTAGATGCGCTGTTGAGATATCGTTAGATAAAAGCTTGTAAGAATCAATAACGACTTGGTTAGTAATGTTCCTCTCATTGTGACGCTGATGAAAGGAAAACTGTTATAAGAATTTTAAGTTTAGTTGAGTATAAATATTTTTACTTCAACATTTGCTGCCTTTTCTTCGCTCTCCACTCTTAAGAGGGTCGAGTTTGTTGTTGGTTCTTGTCCTTGCTCAGAGGGTTTTCTCCCTCCAAAAGAAAAACAACACTTTCCAAATTCCAATTCGATTCAGAAGCAGTGGAGGAATAGCCACTCCGTGGAGGTGCTACTGATAATTCCCATTATTTTTGTTAACCATTTCATCAATTCTATTGAATGAGGGTTGAAACATGCATTTTTTTTCTTCTCGAGGCAACGTTGTACAACATAATAACAACATTCATCTTTGTAAAAAGTTAGGTTTTTAATGGCATATTTTCAGTGAAACATTTCAGTGTAGCTATACGACGCAGATATTTAAAACCAGATCAAACGTCTGCCACATCATTTTGAACATTGTGTTTAAAGCTGGCTTCGTGTAACATGCGTAAAGATCACCGACCGATACAATCGGCTACAAATCGTATTGTGTTGTATCGTATTTTAGGACAGTCAAGGGCAATTGCGAAATTTGAAGGTGAGTTCCCTTGAGACATAGTCAATACAGAGGAATGTTATGAGGCCCGGCAAACATCAAAGGAGAAAATAGGGATGCCAAGATTTATGTTAGAAGGTCCACGACCGTGTACAAGCTTTTGTTTTGTACTCACGCACCATGCATGAATTACGGACACAAAACCAAAACGTTTCTATTGGTTTATTCCTTAGAGTTGTCCTCAGTCAGAAGTAACAACTATTGTGTTTTGTGCAAGGTCAAAGCCAAAGAAGTAAACAAAAACATGCAAACAAACTTTTCGCGTTTCATAACCATTTCTCTCTATTACGATTAGTACCTTAATGTCCACTTTAATACCAAACTCAATTTTTCTCATGCTCACTAATTTTTCCGCTTCAAGTAACTCGCGTTTGCGTGTAACCTGAGTTCAATGGTGTGCTTTAAAAACTCTCCACCTCGGAAAATGCAGCATCATTTGGAGATTGAGGAATCAAATGCGCCTTTTTTCCTCACTATGTACAATGTATGATACTGCATAGATGTTACGGCTTCTCCAAAACAGTTAACTATCACATTTTGCACTTTAAAGATAAAAGAATGATTGCACCCTGTTCTCAAATCGGTAAAGAGTTAAAGCCGATGAACACGGTAAAAAAAAAAAACAACCTTATTGTAAAACATCTTTTAACATTTTTTTTAAGTTTCCTTTCAAAATGGAAACTAGCGTAGAATTCTTGAACATTTTAGTCCAACAATCTAGCCAATCGAATTAAATTTCTCTCCAGTGATACCATTCCCTCATACCAGGATCCCCTGGCCAAGGGGCACATGTGAACCTGCGGACGATAATGAGTAAAAGGCTGATGATGATTGGTACTTCGCAAACGCAATAAATTACCAACAACAATATCATCCACTGATTTACCGTCAAGTTGCTATCACTAAATACTTTAGAATTGATTCCCATGCTGAAAACAAAACCCAGTCTAATTACCTGTAAGATGAGACAGTTGACGCGGATGATCGTGTCGGCGTCTTCAAACTTGGCGGTATTCTACTTGTTGTAGGAATGGAGAACTGTGTCTCTGTAGTTGTCACCACGGTAGACGGGAACACGGTAGCTGCAGTCTTCTGAGAAACTGATTTGTACGAGGTCGTCGCAGATTTAGATGAAGACAAGCTGAAAGAGGGCATTAGCATTGCTTTCAGTAAGATGAACATGGAATTCGTAAGCAAATCGCAAAGCACTGTTAAAATGGTTTGAATTTATCTCAAATTGGCAAAAACCTTGTTATATTTAGGTATCAATGCCACTAAATCTTACAAACAGCAGTTTGGAGAGCAATAATAATTTGGATAAGACCTTAATTAAATATTATTTAATCTTAGAGGAACTATTTCTCGGCTTTGTACGTATTACCATACTCAAATTAGCAATTAGCCAATCAGAAGCCTCGTCCACTATCCTGATATCACTTTTTTTTTTATCTCAATGTCCTGATATCGTGCGAAATCAAGACACTGAACTGATATGGCTACGATATCATCAGCTTCGATGAGACGATTACCCTATCGTACATTTTTGGTACGCTTCAGTGGCATACTAGCCTTGTTCCCATATTGCCATATTGGCAATTGCAAGCGTCTTAATCGACGACGAAAACCGTTACAGAAAGCATCGTAAATCGTAAACCTTATTAATTTATTAACATAAAACCAATTAGCAGTACACACTCTACCTTGTACTGGTTGAAACGCTCGTAGTAACAGACGTAGACACACTTGAACTTAGTGAAGTCGAAGTTGACGTACTTGTTGACGTTGAGGTGGACACACTAGTGGAAACCGATGTGGAAACACTTGCCGTCGAAGATGTGGACACACTTGAACTCAATGACGTTGATGTTGAAACACTTGTGCTTGCACTTGAATATGTCGAGTAAACTGTTGTTGTTGGAGTACTGATACTCGTTGATGCTGAGGTCGAGACACTGCTTGAAACACTAGTGCTGACCGATGTGGACACACTTGTTGAAATAGATGTGGAAACACTTGAACTCAATGACGTTGATGCCGAAACGCTTGTGCTTGCACTTGAATATGTCGAGTACACTGTTGTTGTTGGAGTACTGATACTCGTTGATGTAGACGTGGACGTGGATGTTGAGGTGGAGACACTGCTTGACACACTAGTGCTAACTGATGTGGAAACACTTGTGGTAGTAGATGTGGAAACACTTGAACTCAACGACGTTGATGTCGAAACGCTTGTGCTTGCACTTGAATATGTCGAGTACGCTGTTGTTGTTGGCGTACTGACACTAGTTGAGGTGGACGTGGACGTCGAGGCCGAGACACTACTTGACACACTAGTGCTGACTGATGTGGACACACTTGTTGTAGTAGAACTGGACACACTCGAACTCGATGACGTTGATGTTGAAACACTTGTGCTAGCACTTGAAAATGTCGAGTAAACTGTTGTTGTTGGAGTACTGAGACTCGTTGATGTAGATATGGACGTAGATGTGGACGTTGAGGTCGAAACACTGCTTGACACACTAGTGCTGACTGATGTTGACACACTTGTTGTAGTAGAAGTCGACACACTTGAACTCAATGATGTTGATGTTGAAACACTAGTGCTGGCACTTGAATATGTCGAGTACAATGTTGTTGTTGGAGTACTGACACTTGTTGAGGTTGATATTGATGTTGATGTTGAAGTGGACACACTGCTTGACACACTAGTGCTAACTGATGTCGATACACTTGTTGTTGTAGATGTGGACACGCTTGATCTCAATGACGTGGATGTCGACACACTTGTGCTTGCACTTGAATACGTCGAGTACACTGTTGTTGTGGGAGTACTGACACTCGTTGAGGTTGATGTTGATGTGGACACACTGCTTGACACGCTCGTACTTACTGACGTTGATACACTTGTTGTAGTAGATGTGGACACGCTTGAGCTCGATGACGTGGATGTCGACACACTTGTGCTTGCACTTGAATGCGTCGAGTACACTGTTGTTGTGGGAGTACTCACACTCGTTGAGGTTGATGTTGATGTGGACACACTGCTTGACACACTCGTGCTTACTGATGTTGATACACTTGTCGTAAGAGATGTTGACACACTTGAACTCGATGATGTGGATGTCGACACACTTGTGCTGGCACTTGAATATGTGGAGTACACTGTTGTTGTTGGAGTGCTGACACTCGTTGAGGTTGATATTGATGTTGATGTTGAGGTGGACACACTGCTTGACACACTAGTGCTAACTGATGTGGACACACTGGTTGTCGTAGATGTGGACACGCTTGTACTCAATGACGTGGATGTCGAAACGCTTGTGCTTGCACTTGAATACGTCGAGTACACTGTTGTTGTTGGAGTACTGACACTCGTTGATGTAGATGTGGACGTGGACGTGGAGGTCGAGACACTGCTTGACACACTCGTGCTGACTGATGTGGACACACTTGTTGTAGTAGATGTAGACACACTTGAACTCAATGACGTTGATGTTGAAACACTTGTGCTTGCACTTGAATATGTCGAGTAAACTGTTGTTGTTGGAGTACTGACACTCGTTGAGGTAGATGTGGACGTACTACTCGACACACTAGTACTGACTGATGTAGATGTGCTCGTTGACACACTTGAACTCAGTGAAGTTGATGTTGAAGTACTTGCACTACTAGCACTGAGATGGAGAACAATTAATACACAATTTGAGTGTTTGTCTTACAGTACATTAGAAGTACCTTTGTAATTAAGAATTGATGCTTTAGGGCACATTATCGAATTATTTTTAAAGTTTGAAGAGTAATAAAGAAACGTAAGAGATGCTCCCTGTAGAATCTAGAGCTACTCGAGTTTTTGGAGTGCTCTCCAATCTTCTCAGGTATGATAACTGATGATGCGGAACTTGAAGTATTAAGCACTTCTTTCATAACATTGCAAATAGAAACTGCGAAACGAAGTGAGCTGCTAACGCCATGAGCATGGTAGTTTTAAAGCGAAGCTTTGCTATCGAAATTATATAGAAATTGATAATTTTCTTGTCCAAGCTCTTTTCTCACTAATTCTTTTCCAGTGGTGAGTTGTAAACGACGAGACTGATTATCATTTGTGTGCTATACTTTTCTGTCGATTTCAGAGCTAAAACAACTCAGAAACAAAAAGCGGTACATGGAAGCTAGTTCTAGCTTTCACCTTTTGTAAAGACGTCATGGACAGGACAACAACTGCTCATGATTGTGTTTCAATCTCTAAGAGCCATCGTGCGGAATGACCCCACGAGTGTGTGTTGCAATCACATGAAAATCACATGACAGGGGAATTGTATTACTGTCTTTATGCTCAGTCACGTAAAAGGAATCTCGTTACACCTTTGTGACCACCAATGTGGGGGATAGGTAGTTTTTACTGGTTTCATGCCTTTAAACCGACTTTAAAATGCGCCGTTTCAGAGCCGACGGGAGTGATTAACCAAATTAACGTTATTACGCTAGTACGTTTATTCGGTAGAATTTATTGCTGTTGGAAACGAAATCCGTGCGATTGTAAATAGGTAATTTTCGTATACTCGGTTTTAGCTAGAGCTAGTCAGCAAAGAGGGATTTGTTTTGTTTTAAAATGCGAATCAAAAGAAGCCATTTTTTCATTATTCTTCTAAATTGTCATATTTTGTAACTTCATTTCAGTTTTATCTCGTACATTATAAATGTTCTGTTAAGTAATTGGACGACATGCTGGTACTGCACACACGTCACTGCTCTGAGATTTCCATCACGATCATTACAAACCAACTAACTGTCCACTTGTTCGTCAGACATATTGCAGACCGTCTAGAGTTTCTGTATATATTACTTTTCACCAAATATCATTACCATATTCAGGTTTTCTTTCCCTTACTTCCACCTTTCTAATTCTATAAGTATACGCCGCAGGCAATTACCTGTTAGATGAAACTGTTGACGCGGATGACCGTGTCGGCGTCTTCAAACTTGGTGGTATCCTACTTGTTGTAGGAATGGAGAATTGTGTCCCTGTAGTTGTCACCACGGTAGACGGGAACACGGTGGCAGCGGTCTTCTGAGAAACTGATTTATATGAAGTCGTCGGTGATTTAGATGACGAGAAGCTGAAAGAGGACATAAATGTATATTTCATTAATCGGGATTAACTTTAACTTTGATTTTATTTGAATTCGTTGCATACATAGGAAACCAAACTGATAAAATAATAAAATAATGTTAGTAATAGATAAATAAATAAATAAATAAATCATTAGCGTCAACAACTGGAGCAGAAAACAGAACGATGTCCGAATCGATATTCAGCCCCAACAAAATATATTTGAAATAGCAACAAAATGGTAATAACAATTGTGGTAGTAGTAAAATAGCAATAATTATTACATGATAATAATTTGATTTAAAAATAAATAATAATACATACTTACACCCCCACTACTTGGAAGAGCTTGGAAGATTATAACATTGTATAAGAAAATTTATAATTACTGCTAGGAGGCTTTCATTTCTCTCAAATTTGTAACAAAACTTATGTACTGTGTTTGTATGTTCATGTCACCGTTAACTCCGATCTTCAAAATGACGCCTCTGTCATATATACCGTAATGAGGATGCAGTTTGGTAAGTGAAGATGAAATCGCAAGCACATTCAAGAAATCAATTTCTTCACCACTATATATCCCTGCCATATCACTATATTATTTGCGATAATGTGCAATACTCCCCGGTCCTTTAAGCCAATCAGTTCAAGTTCCCCTGAGGTGACATTCACGCTCCGGGTTTTTCTCGATCAATGAGAGAAAGAAAAGCCTACATGAAGCTGAAAGCTTAAAAGAAAGCAACAATGGCCTAATATTGTTCGGTAATATAAATCTGTAAGTACAATATTCATGTCCTTTTACAAAAAAGTGCGTCTATGGTTTAACCAACTCCAAGACCACCGAAAGCTGAACGTAACAAGCAAAAATCGGCTCACGTCTAACGAGGCCGGCATTTTTGAGACAATGTAAGGTAAATTAAGACAGGTATGTCGTGCGTGAAAACTGGAACGCCTCCCCAGATTAGCGCAATCATTTCGCTACTTTAGCACGGAGGAGAAGACACTACAGCACAATATCATGCAATAGACAAACCATCCTTGAAAAGGAGTCGTGTAACACGACACCAATTCCAAAAACGACATCTAAAAATGCAGGCCGGGAGCACCTGAATCGGTGCTAACCGCAAAACAGCAAATCAAACAACAAGGGAATAAACTTCCACTTTTCTAAATCAAAAAAACAAAAATAGAACAGAATATATAAAAAATTATCTCATCCTACCTTGTGCTGGTTGACACACTCGTAGTCACAGAAGTTGACGCACTTGTCGTGGTAGAAGTTGAGGTACTTGAACTCAATGAAGTTGAAGTTGACGTACTGACGCTTTTTGAAGTTGATGTCGACACACTACTTGATACACTAGTGCTGACTGATGTGGACACACTTGTTGTCGTAGATGTTGACACACTTGAACTTATGGAAGTTGTTGTTGATACACTTGTGCTGGCACTTGAATAGGTCGAGTAAACCGTTGTTGTTGGAGTACTGACACTCGTTGAGGTCGATGTTGAGGTGGAGACACTGCTAGATAAACTAGTGCTGATTGATGATGACACACTTGAACTCAACGAACTGGATGTTGATGTACTTGTGCTGCCACTTGAATATGTCGAGTACACTGTTGTTGTTGGAGTACTGACACTTGCCGATGTTGACGTAGACACGCTGCTTGAGACACTAGTGCTGAGCGATGAAGACACACTCGTCGTAGTAGACGTGGAAACGCCTAAACTCCATGAAATAGGTGTAGACGAGCTTCTACTAGCGCTTGAATATGTCGAGTACACCGTTGTTGTTGGAGTACTGACACTTGTTGAGGTTGACGTTGAAGTGGAGACACTGCTTGACACACTTGTGGTGACTGATGTGGATACACTTGTTGTAGTAGATGTTGACACACTTGAACTCAGTGACGTGGTTGTTGAAATACTTGTGCTTGCGCTTGAATATGTCGAGTAAACCGTTGTTGTTGGAGTACTGACACTTGTTGATGTCGACGTTGAGGTGGACACACTGCTTGACACACTTGTGGTGACTGATGTTGATGTACTTGTCGACACGCTTGAGCTCAAAGAAGTGGATGTTGAGGTACTTGTGCTTGCGCTTGAATATGTGGAGTACACTGTTGTTGTTGGAGTGCTGACACTTGTTGATGTTGACGTTGAGGTGGAGACACTGCTTGATACACTAGTGCTGACTGATGTTGACACACTTGTTGACGTAGAACTGACACTTGTTGATGTTGATGTTGATGTAGAAACACTGCTAGAAATACTAGTGCTGACTGATGTTGATGTACTTGTTGAGACACTTGAACTCAAAGATGTGGATGTTGAAGTACTTGTACTGGCACTTGAATATGTCGAGTAAACCGTTGTTGTTGGAGTACTGACACTTGTTGAAGTAGAGGTTGATGTTGAAACACTGCTTGAAACACTAGTGCTGACTGATGTTGACACACTTGTTGTCGTAGAGGTCGACACACTTGAACTCAATGAGGTTGTTGTTGAAACACTTGTGCTTGCACTTGAATATGTCGAGTAAACTGTTGTTGTTGGAGTACTCACACTTGTTGAAGTTGATGTGGACACACTTGTGCTGACGGATGTTGAAACACTTGTTGAAGTACTTCTTGAAACACTTGAACTCAAAGACGTGGAGGTTGAGGTACTTGTGCTGGCACTTGAATATGTCGAATAAACAGTAGTTGTGGGAGTACTGATACTGGCTGAGGTTGATGTGGACACACTGCTTGACACACTAGTGGTGACAGATGTTGACACACTTGAGCTGAGGGAGGTTGACGATGAAGTGCTTGTACTTATGCTTGTTGAGGTGGAGGTGGAGACACTGGTACTAATTGAAGTTGATACACTAGTTGTAGTTGATGTCGACAAACTTGAACTCAAGGAAGTAGAAGTTGAAACACTCGTGCTGGCACTTGAATATGTCGAGTACACTGTGGTTGTTGGAGTACTCACACTTGTTGAGGTGGACGTGGAAGTGGAGGTAGAGACACTGCTTGACACACTAGTGCTGACTGATGTGGACACACTAGTTGTAGTAGATGTTGACGTACTTGAACTCAATGAAGTGGATGTTGAAACACTTGTGCTGGCACTCGAATATGTCGAGTAAACCGTTGTTGTTGGAGTACTGACACTTGTTGAAGTCGAGGTTGAGGTGGAGACGCTGGTAGAAACACTAGTGCTGACTGATGTTGACACACTTGAACTCAATGAAGTGGAAGTTGAAGTACTTGTACTGGTGCTTGTGGAGATTGAACTGCAAAACAAGGAAATTGATAACAATTTGTATCTCCCGTCTAGTGTTCAGGGTATTGACGTAGACGGATTTGTAGGTGACGTGGCTAAATTTTTTTGTTGTTGTTGTTGTCTCAGGCAAACTGCTCATGTGCTACGTTGTATGTGAGTAAATCATACTCCATTTGTGCAAAGAGTAAAAGAGTTAATCTCCCACTGTAGGCCTTGACCCTTAAACCTTTCAAACCATTTTCATCCTTAACGAAAACATCCACTCAAAGGGCGTGATAACATTATGCGCGGAAGGACTAGGTAACATGTCTCAAAATAAATTCAAAGGGAGTTTTAGAAGGCTTTTAATTGTGATTAACTGTCTTACACTTCATCCTATCTCGATTTGGACAATGGCATGAATAACCACGCAGGAAGTGAGCTCAAACAGCTAATAAAATGCCATCAATTACGACGGTCAATTCACAGTGCTTGAATGAGTCGATAATCACTTGCTTGTGATTGAACACGACCAAAACTACACATACTTTGTTCTCTCAGTACTCTTCCATGAAACAGGGAGAGGGGAGTGGGGTACCTATTCAACAGGGAAGCGTTTATTTTAAATTTTGGCCGATAGGAGGGGCGCTTATTTGAGGGGAGACGTTAATTCGAGAACTTATGGTATGTGTAACTTAGGATAGGTGTTACTTAGTTATTCAACGAACCTTCTGCACATTAAATTAGGTATAAACAGAAATGTTTAATTCTAGCAAGAATATAATTGGAACTAAACAGAACTACTGTATCAGTCAGACAGAAGCACATATATGCAGAACTGCACGAATTTGTCAGCGCTCAATAAATTCAGAAACATTTTCCACTATTAAAGAATACAAACTAACGTGTAAGATGAAACAGTTGGTTTGGACGTTTGTGCCGGCGGCTTCAAACTTGGTGGTATCCTACTTGTTGTAGGAATGGAGAATTGTGTCCCAGTTGTTGTCACCACGGTAGACGGGAACACGGTGGCTGCGGTTTTCTGAGAAACCGATTTATATGAAGTTGTCGCAGATTTAGATGACGACAAACTGAAAAAAAAAACGTATTTAAGATGCGAAGGTTAGAATCATTAAACGTTCGCGTAAACAGAGCGAAATACAGTCACTTTTGGACTTCTAAGTATGTGAATTTGCCATAAGGACTCTGAAATAACGTCACAAGGAGACGTGATTTGATCAGCAAACTTGTATTTAATGTTGCACTAGGTATGGTCACAAACCTCGGTAAGACCAAATGAAACTATAAGAACGCACAACTTTGCTAGTAACAAATTCCTTCAGATCAATGTATTTCTGGCATGTCTGGCATGTCCATCTATTGTAAATAGTACAACGTTTGGTATATTTTTCAACAGCTCGCGATGTTAGAAGTTCGAGTTCGACTTTGAGCAGCTGGTAGCTCAGGTTAGAAACTTTATTTTGGTTTAGTTTAAAGTATAGAGACCTTTCTGGTCTAATTTGAAAGGAAAATGGTGTTTTTATCAAATCCTGGGGGAAAATGGCATTTACAAGATGACAATTTAGCGCATGATTTAAAAATATAATTAAGATATATTCGTACAGACTGTTTATAAAGTTACCATTCTCTACAATAAAATTAAAGCTAACCCTTCTCAAACCAACCGAAGATCTTATCAGGTTAACCAGGGTATTAACCATACGATAAGGCTGACATAAGTGCAATTTAGGCACCAACAAACACGAATTATGAGACACTCACACGCTGTTTTGAGGAAAAAGATCATGTAAGCTATATTATCTTATCGCAATTAACTAATATATCATCATCATCATCATCATCATCATCATCATAATCAAAGGCAACAGGCGCAGTCTTTGTGATCCGTATTATCAGCACCATCATTATCTAATCAGCACAATTATCCTTTTCAGAACCGAATATCGAGATACGAACACCGTTGCAACACCTCTCTTAGTCCTTTACAATTAAATCACTCTGTCAAGTACGCTCTATAAATGATCTCTTAAACACAGAACGAGCACAGGCCACAGAGGAAATGATGGCACGAGATTTTTTCTCAATTGAAATAGACAAGGCATTTTTCTTTTCTCGAAATGTTTCTAAAAGAAATAGAAAGCATTCCCTCTGTGTTTATATCTAGTCAAAGAAACACTTGAGTAGAACTCCAAAAATCTGTCGAAACACACGCCTGTGGCTCGAGTTCCCATAGAGTTTCCTTTTTCCTCAAAACTCGTGCTTCTATAACTCGCTCAACCAAGAACGGATTTTACAACAAAAACCCTATAAAATATAAGTAGTTCAAAAATTAATCTGGAAACCTGGACTTCACCTTCTCTAAAAACTCGATACACCGAAACTTAAAAAGGAGTAAGGGAACGTAAAACATGTTACTGAATCATATATTTATATCATTTACCCTTCAAAATTCATCTTAACCAAGCAGCTTACCTTGTACTAGTAGATACACTTGTGCTCGTAGACGTTGACACACTTGAACTTAGTGAAGTGGATGTTGACGCACTTGTACTCACACTAGTACTGACCGATGTTGATACACTTGTTGTAGTAGATGTTGACACACTTGAACTCAATGATGTGGATGTCGACACACTTTTGCTAGCACTTGAATACGTCGAGTACACTGTTGTTGTTGGAGTACTGACACTTGTTGAGGTTGATGTCGAGGTTGATGTTGATGTTGAAGTGGACACACTGCTTGACACACTAGTGCTGACTGATGTCGATATACTTGTTGTCGTAGATGTGGACACGCTTGAACTCAATGACGTGGATGTCGACACACTTGTGCTTACACTTGAATACGTCGAGTACACTGTTGTTGTGGGAGTACTGACACTCGTCGAGGTTGAGGTTGAGATTGAAGTGGAGGCACTGCTTGATATACTAGTGCTGACGGATGTTGATACACTTGTAGTAGATGTCGACACACTCGAACTCAAAGATGTTGATGTTGAAATACTTGTGCTTGCACTTGAATATGTTGAGTAAACCGTTGTTGTTGGAGTACTGATACTTGTTGAGGTTGATATTGAGGTTGAAGTTGAGGTTGACGTGGAAACACTACTTGATACACTAGTGCTGATTGATGATGACACACTTGTTGTAGTAGATGTCGACACACTTGAACTCAACGATGTTGATGTTGAGATACTTGTGCTAGCACTTGAAAACGTCGAGTAAACCGTTGTCGTGGGTGTACTGACACTTGTTGAGGTTGATGTTGAGGTTGAAGTTGACGTGGAGACGCTGCTTGACACACTAGTACTGACTGATGTTGTCGAGGTTGACGTAGAAGTGGAGACACTTGAAGAGGTTGATGTTGAAGTGGACAAACTGCTAGATACACTAGTACTGACTGATGTTGATACACTAGTTGTGGTAGATGTGGACACACTTGAACTCAGCGAAGTGGATGTTGAAATACTTGTACTAGCACTTGAATATGTTGAATAAACCGTTGTCGTGGGTGTACTGACACTTGTTGAGGTTGATGTTGCGGTTGAAGTTGATGTGGAGACGCTGCTTGACACACTAGTACTGACTGATGTTGATACACTTGTTGTAGTTGATGTCGACGCACTTGAACTCAACGATGTCGATGTAGAAACACTTGTGCTGGCACTTGAATATGTCGAATACACTGTTGTTGTTGGAGTACTGATGCTTGTTGAGGTGGATGTTGAGGTTGAAGTTGATTTGGAGACGCTGCTCGACAAACTTGTGCTGACTGATGTTGACACACTTGTTGTAGTAGATGTTGAAACACTTGAACTTAATGAAGTTGACGCTGAAATACTTGTGCTAGCACTTGAATATGTCGAGTAAACCGTTGTTGTGGGAGTACTAACACTTGTCGAGGTTGACGTAGAAGTGGAGACACTTGAAGAGGTTGATGTTGAAGTGGACAAACTGCTAGATACACTAGTACTGACTGATGTTGATACACTAGTTGTGGTAGATGTGGACACACTTGAACTCAGCGAAGTGGATGTTGAAATACTTGTACTAGCACTTGAATATGTTGAATAAACCGTTGTTGTGGGTGTACTGACACTTGTTGATGTTGAGGTTGAAGTTGACGTGGAGACGCTGCTTGACACACTAGTGCTGACGGAAGTCGATACACTTATTGTAGTCGATGTCGAAGCACTTGAACTCAATGAAGTTGATGTTGATATACTTGTGCTGGCACTTGAATATGTCGTGTAAAGCGTTGTTGTGGGCGTACTGACACTTGTCGAGGTTGGCGTAGAAGTGGAGACACTTGAAGAGGTTGATGTTGAAGTGGACAAACTGCTAGATACACTAGTACTGACTGATGTTGATACACTAGTTGTGGTAGATGTGGACACACTTGAACTCAGCGAAGTGGATGTTGAAATACTTGTACTAGCACTTGAATATGTTGAGTAAACCGTTGTTGTGGGAGTACTGATACTTGTTGAGGTTGATGTTGAGGTTGAAGTTGACGTGGAGACACTGCTTGACACACTAGCGCTGACGGAAGTCGATACACTTGTTGAAGTCGATGTCGACACACTTGAACTCAATGAAGTTGATGTTGAAACACTTGTGCTTGCACTTGAATATGTCGAGTAAACCGTTGTCGTGGGAGTACTCACACTTGTTGAAGTTGACGTTGATGTGGAGACGCTGCTCGACACACTAGTGCTGACTGATGTTGATACACTTGTTGTAGTTGATGTGGACACACTTGAACTCAATGAAGTGGATGTTGATACACTTGTACTTGCACTTGAATATGTCGAGTAGACTGTCGTTGTTGGAGTACTCACACTTGTTGAGGGTGATGTGGAGACGCTGCTTGACAAACTAGTGCTAACTGAAGTTGATACACTTGTTGTAGTAGATGTCGACACACTTGAACTCAACGATGTCGATGTTGAAACACTGGTACTGGCACTTGGAAAGATAAAAAAAAAACATTCTTTTAGGTGCTAGGGTTTTATTGGAAAACACTTGTCACAGATGTCAATCAAATTATTTATAATATCGTTCTTGTATTATTCTAAGCTGCCCATGTGCTTGTTTTGAGTTTCTTCAGTCAGGCAAACTTTTTTCGGACCAGTCGTACATATAGTACCGCATATATGTTAGCCCCATCTAGGTCACAAAATGAGAAGTGGTCACATTGAAAAGGTGTGAAAAGGTATTATTAACGGGAGCTAGAAACGTAAATTTCTATTGTAAAGTACAAGATGTTTTACGTTTACTAACTATTCCTTCATCATTCAATTTTTCTAGTTCCTAAACAACCTACACTGTAACTGTTTGAAGACAAGTATTTTAACAACTTATTTCTTTGTAGAGCAAAACTGATCGCCTAAAAGACAACCTTGTTGTAATTTCTCTGAACTTCCACAGAAGCCATTCTTTTTTCGAAAAGAAGGATATTTTATCTCGGTGATAACATTAGTCAGTGCTTACTTCAGGGCATGCTTCCCTCTCTCGAATAGACAGAAAAGCGTATCTTTTATAATTAAAAATTGAAATATACTTACCTGTAAGATGAAACAGTTGAAGCCGACGATCGGGTCGGCGTCTTCAAACTTGGCGGTATCCTACTTGTTGTAGGGATGGAGAATTGTGTCCCTGTTGTTGTTACCACGGTAGACGGGAACACGGTGGCTGCAGTCTTCTGAGAAACTGATTTATATGTAGTTGTCGCTGATTTAGATGACGACAAGCTGAAAGAAAATATACTTCTAATGTGAAGATTGAACTAAATTAGTCAAGGATCAACAGAGGTTATGGGTTCATGCTTCATACGGTTTCATATTAAAGAGTTTACGAGCCACAATAAAGATTATGGAATGCTATTATGAGCGATTTTGTTACAACTGACAGTTAGCGATTATCTACCTAGTAAGATGAAAGTGAAGAATGCTCATCGCAGTAAATTTTCCAATTTAAGCAATTGGAAAGAAGAAACCTGAAAAAAATCAGGGCTTCAACGG